TCTGACTTATCGCATTGTCATCAATTTGGTTAAGTAGATTTCCCCATCGCAGTCGCATTCCTTGATTGAAAATTTTGCACACTCCATTGGGCCCGGGAAAGGACACGTAATTATTTCATTGATTGAAAATCCAATGCTAGCCGGATGGGAAAATGCCAAAGGGAAGACGGGAAACGGGAAAACGGGAAAAGGGGAAAGGCAAGGAAGGCGGAAAAACTGCGAGCCACTATGCCGGCATAATCAATCACGTTTTATCGGGATAATTGTTTGGCACATTCTCCTGCATAAATTGTGTGTCCTTCGCGCGCAGGACACTCGCCTCCAATGCCAATACTACTACAAACTACTGTTATTATTATTATTTGTGCTCAATTTCATTTGAGGAGTTTATCCACTTCGCGGCATCGGATATTATTTATGCGACAAAGCAAATACTCGTGCATACAAATCAATTAGCTTATGCCGCAGACAAAAGGCGCCGCATGAGCAAAAGATACCCCCAGGCATCGTCACAATCTGAATCGGACTGGAGAATCGGACGGGATTATGGGATATATAGTGTGCATATCGAATGCAGATACGCACTAAACCCACTGGCCAAATATTTGCAATTAGCCCGCGGCTCGGGCCATAAATTTTTGGCCAGCACCCGACCTCAATTATTGATTAGGCTTTTCATTTGGCAAACGCAAAGTGTTGACACACCAGAGACTTTACAATGCAGCCCACATAAATCAAACATCGACACCCATGCACATTACTTGCATTATTAAACGTGAAGTGAAAAATCAATAAAGCGAGTCTCTACTCATCTAATTTTAAAACAGTTTTCAATATTGGTCTTGGCATAAACACTGGCCCAAATATGCGCGGCTATTTAAAAATATGGAACAGCCGTTTCTGTGTTATAATGACCTTTTATTTACGCTTGTTTTCAAAGTAAAAGCAGCCGCAAAATAGCAATAAAATGAAAGAAAACAAATAAACCCATCGCTGCATTGTCGACCGCAGAAGGTCAATGAATTATTGATTCGGGCCAAGGACGAAACTCGGCTAAAACTCCGAAAGAAGTGCCCTTTTTCAGCGCTTCCAGCTGAGTGGAGACAACTCAGCTCCAACTGGCCCAGAAGGCTGAGTTGTCAAAAGCGACTTTAAGTAAATAAATCTGAAATAATTCAAGGCTCGGGGCAAATAAATTCAACTCCTTTGTTTCGGCTTGTCATTCGAGAGTCTTTTGGGAGTTGGGCACAGGCTGAAATTTATTGCCAGGCAGTCAAGTGTTTTCAGTCAAGTGTTTTCGACTTCCCCATGGGAAGTTTTCCTCTGGCAGGACTCGATCAAAGTGAGAACAATCATGGCACATAATAATATGCAAATTGATTTGTTTCACTGCTTTTGTTTTTTTTTTTTGCACACCTAAAGCCGCTTAGCAAATTGAATGCACATTGTGCGTTTGTGCATCTGATAAGAGCTGACAAAAAATAAACCATAAAAAGAGTAAAACATGACAATATCGCCGAAAGGTTGCAGGACTCACAGGCAGGATAACAATAAATCACATTCGACTCACACATCCGTATCAAATTGATTTATCTGCCTGACAAAGATGAATCGCATTAAAATAAAATCCACAGAAGTAGTTTGCACTTTTTAGTGTCCAGTAGCAGAATTTTCCGCAATGCAATTGATATTTATTATATGTACCATAATATGTACCATCTGCATAATTTGCCACAAGCCCAGCATAATCTAATGCCTATTTCAACCATGGGTAGCAACTGAACAAAGTCACATTTGAGCTGTGAAATATAAATATCCATGTGAACATATGTAAGTGTGGCTGGCAATCGGATTTGTGCATGAAAATAGTGTAAAATAGCCGTTGGAATAAGGCAGTAATTACTTAACTCGACTGAAACCAATAAGAGCAAATTGATTAAGAAAGTGTTGACTTTGGCTTAAACGAATTGGTTATACCAAATTGACATTGTGGCTTGCCGTGGGGTTTATTACAAGCCCAAATATGAAAATAAAATTCAATTTGAAAATATGTTGACCCTTGCAAATATTGTCCAAAATCAGCATGAACTCTTATTTTAATTTCTGTTTTACGGTTCATATGCTCATATTTACTTAATATGCACAAATATTCATGTTTACGTTAAAATGGTGCATCCTTTACTTGGAAATGGAAAAAACATATTGCATAGTGCGGCTAGTTTCCACATCATTTTCATCCAAAGCAATAGCAGCCAAAATAAATGTTATGTAATTTATTCTGGCTTCTGCAAACTTTTTACTTGAATATGCAAATTCTTGTGGCAAACAATGTGCAGAAATTTGTATAAATTAAAAATGCAAACATGTACCACATTTTAGAGAACATTTAGCTCCAGAGGGAGCCATAAACCTAAAAAATAAACCTGCCAAACTGATATTTGCAATGAAACCCAATCAATCGGAAACCCATTACTTAATTAGCTAGGTTCGTTGCCAAATTGTCGTGATTGCCAACTTTATTCTAACAATTAAGACAATTATTACGTCAATTTAGTCGAGTTCTGTTGAAAATATGACTTCCAATGGGCCGCCAACTTGAATTATTCGAAGGCTTGACAACCCTACTCAAGGTACACTTGCCGAAAGAAGAGGTAAGTGCTCTTAGGCCAGTGAAGCGTGTTTTCTCGCAGTGCTTCGAGTTGACCCCAAACTGGGAACCAAACTCGACGTATTGCTAAACATAAAACTGCAATCCGGACAAAAGGGCACCCAATTAAACACCGACTTTGGGAGCGAAGTAAGGGGGGTAATTGAATAGTTGTCGCAACAATAGTGCCAAGTTGGTCGGAACCAAGTCGGTTCCATAAATCGCATACAAATAGCCACATGGGAGTGTTTGTATCGTTCGAACAAAGCCACAAAAGCAATGGCAAACAAAAACAGGATGCGAGCTAATTACATTCCCTGAATGTGTGTTTTTGTGGGGGGACAGAAAACAATTTGTTGCCCAAATTATCTGCTAAATTAAGCAATTTCAATTCAACAAACGCCGCCGCCGAAGATGCTCTCTCTGGTAACCTGAAACCTTCAAATCCTCGGCGACTTGAGTCCGCTTTTTTCCCCATCTCACGCACACTAATGCCATCAGGGGCGGAGTGCTTATGTGTGCGTGAGGTGCGGCAAGTGCTGCACAAATCGGTTGCTAAGTAGCTCATAATGGCCGCGCTTGCCCCAAATGTTCCCACTGGGAGGCCAACCTGGAAGTCCTGCTTAGGATCCTGTTTTGAAGTTTTCCGAGTGCGTGGGTGTAGCACCTCAATTTATGTTCCTCTTGTATATTTCGGTTCATGGGGAAACGCAGCTTAAACAGTTGCATAAATTGGAAATTAGTGTTTGCCTAATTCCCGTTGAGCATGTTTAAGGCACAGCTGATTGATTTTCCTCCTGCCCGGGCAACAGAAAGGGTTACGCATACAAATGCCAGCTTACAACTGTTGCATGTGTGTGCCGTACGTGTGTGCAGGTGCGCTTGTGTGCGTGAGAACTTTTGATAAATGCAGATTTTATTGTAATTCGATATCAATTTCTGTGTATGCGAGGCAGCCCGGGGCACCTGAAACTCACTGGGCACTCCGCCAATATCGATATTGATACACAATTTTATGGCAAACACTTAAAGGGCCCAGAACAGTGAATTACGGCCGAGTCGAAAAAGCCAAACAGTTTACGGCGAGGAGCTCCATTTCCCGGATTTTCCGCCTCCCAGTCGAGTGCCAGGCCACATCAATCAGACAACTACGACGGCAAATTACATCAGTTTTGTTTGGAAATGCTGCCATTTAATTTAATGAGACATCATTATGCCAAAACTTTAATCTCATCATCAGAACTGGCTGCAAAGGCAGTAGTATGGCGGCAGCAGCGCAAAAAATTGTAATTATTGAGGCACCGCTTTTTTGGGCCTCAGACAGCCGGTGCACTGCGGAAAATATCCCATCACAAAGAAATTCCAAAAATAAATCAAATATTGCTACGTTTGTACATTATTTCAATTAGTCATATCATTTAAGTTTGGCTTCGTTTTTGAAGTAGCTAATTTAGATCAACAGAAAGTGCAGCCATGGCAAATACATGTGTTTAAGTGTGGAAGTCAGTGGGCGGGGGGCGTGTCGGGCTGCTGTTAATGATGTTTGGCAACTTCAACTCCACACACACACATGACCGCAGCCATACACACACACACACACACACATGCACGCGGAGGACACCTTCAGCATCCAATTAGCGGCAAAACGAGTTTCAGGATCTCACTCACACATGCACATGCACACGTGTGCCCCATCCATCTGGCGTCCCTTTCCCACCGCACTCGCACTCTTTCTAACAAGCACTCGAATCGCTCTTTTTTCACACGGCAAACGCAACTCGCATATGTTTCGTATGTTTGTGTTGGTGGCTCCCACACACACGCGCACACACTCGCCTTTGTGGAGCGACAAACAAACAAACATACCAAAAGCAACAAACAAGTAGCGTGCAAAAAATGAAAAATGGCAACACTTTAACTTTTGAACGCCGTTTCACCCACAAAACTTCTGCCCACCTCTACAGATTTCAGCTACCTGCCCTCTTTTAAATGCGATTTTTTAGCCGAGATTATTTCTGTTGCGTTGTACACTTAGCCGAATAGCGGGCTCTAGTAAATATAAAATAATAATCTTGCTTAATATAGAACGATTCCTTATATTTATATATACTTGCAACTTGTCGAACTGATAATATTGGATTGAGCGCTTGCTTATGTTGATAACCATGTAGTACTTTTACACAAAATGTATATGACTAATTTCGTAATAAAATAAAGTTACTTATGTGTTCGAACACAGGCCATTTTTATTTAGGAAATACGTGCAGACAACAATTGAAGACCATTTTGAGACTTGTCACTGTTTACTACTCACTTGTACCGTGAATACGAATTTAATAATTGCAAAAAATGGCTGCCTGCCCATTTTTCAATTTCTGGAACGGAAATTCGAGTTTAGTCGTAGCTGGTAATTAATCCAATTATTCAGACCAAGTACATTCGTATAGATAGTGGGTGTATTATCGCCAGGCTTATGAGTCAACCGGTTGACAATAGCCACCTGTGCGTACCTCGGTGGATTGGCAGTATATGAAAACATTTGACAAACCACAGGAGCACCGCCGTCGCCACTGTCATCTATTTCTTCCAGACTTTCCCCACAGATTTGGCTAAACCGATTTCTTCCCAGCCGCCTTCTACACACATCAGTGCTCAATATATTGACATGGACCGTTTTGAGAATGGTGGGATAGTCCGTCGAGTTCAAATAAACTTTTCCCCAGCCGTTGAAGAAGCAGATTTCCATGTTGGCTTCTCCCCGGTACAATGGGATGATATTAATGTTGGTTGTCAGCTTAAATTTGGATGTCAGAATGAGCAACGCAATGTTGTTTTCTGCATTGAATCTGTTGAACTGCTCATGGTAGACTATTTTCAGGACCTCGAGATCCACATGCTGCTGGTCACTCGTAGTCGAAATATCCCATTCGCCAGCTCGCACCACCAGATCATTTTCGGCGGTGTCGTTCAGTATGTGAGCGGCAGTAAGGACCACATTGGGCCTTATCAGAGATCCCGTTCCTATATAGCGAAACAGCCAATCCCCGTGGTCGAGCACAGCTACCACCCAAGGAAATGTGTCCAATCCAATCCTCCGATCCTCGCTGCGATTACTGCCATATGTGCCAAATTGTACCTGCAGGCCAGTTTTCCATCTGAATATTTTTCATACATGTATCTTAACGAATATTCAACAAATATACCTGATTTTTGTTATTGTGTTTGCAATTCGCAAAACTGATTATCAGCGTCGCCAGAAACGCAAGGTATAGCGTCATTTCGCAACGAGTGTTCAAAATGAAATGAAATCAAGCGCCTAGAATTTACTCCGCGAACTCAGCACTCTGCTTATCAGTGCAATACGCCGTTTCAAGAACTGCACAACGGGGTTTTGAGATAAATCTCTTGTGTTATTAAAAGCATTCGCAGCCTTCGCTATATTATTTTACAGCGATCCCATATATGACTTTATGACTTCATTTCTCTCAGCGAGCTGATTTTTTGCCCGAGTGTAACTTTTGCATAATACTCGCAACTGAATACAAAAAACTAAAAGAAAACATAACAAAACTAGTTGCATAGCGCACATGTGTGAGAGGAGTCAAGAGGCGTACGGGTTTGGCAGAATGAGGCAACGGATTCCAATTAAGTTTTAAATTTTTAGCAGACAAGCTTATGAATGATGGCACGTTCACTTCGATGGCAGCCCACTTGGCAGATGTCCAAAAGGTTTGCTCTCACTTTCCTTCTGCCAAATGTGCTAATCATTTTCATTTGCTACGAAATAGCCGAGCAAATGCTGAGCTCACGAAACAAGCGGCGCCTTGGTCCTTGCAATATTACCCCCCCTTCACGGCACCTTTCAAGGACTTTTCCGCATGCATTCCCAAGTAGTTGAACATGGGAGTGCCATTATGGGAAGTAATAAACAAGAAATGAACAATGGAATAACTGAATTGTTTGGATAGAATTGCAGATGCCCTTTATGCTGTGATTATCGTTTGTTGCACAAGAAGAGTGAAGCACACCAGTGCACGAATATTCAGTGCAATGTTGTCTTAGTGCTTCTAAATAAAACAAGTTAAATAAGATTTGTATTCCTTATTGAAGCTACCATATACGTGTAGTTATAAAATATTGTTTTAGAATAATAATACTTAAGTACCTTCAAGATACAAAAGTATCCAAAGAGATCTATTACAAAAAGCATCTGTAAGTTAAAAAAGTATCTTTGAGATATACAAGTATCCCTCAGATACAAAAGTATCTTAACGTTTGAAACTCCGAGCAAGTTGGCATCCCCAAAATCCTGCCCGCCACGATTATCCCAACTAAACTGATGTTTGAAAGCTTCCATTTGACAGCCGTGTGTTCGAAAAGCTCCAACACGATTCATGGGGGCGCCACCCGCTCTATTCCAAAAAGCATACAAATGCTCAAGATGAAACAAAAACAGAAAATAAACAACAAATACGCATGTATGACCTTCGCACAAGGTGACTGGGCCAAAAAGAGAGCGCCAGTGAGAGAGAGGCAGTGAGCGAGTGAGAGCACAGGGGAGCAATGCAGGAATACAGCATAGCTGAAGTGCGAGAGAGACAGCGAAATGCACCGGCGAGATAAGAACCGCTGCATCAGCAACGCACAGTGGTCGGTTTTGTTGAAAACCGCTGCAAAAAGCTATTATTTGGTAGTGAAATATAAAAGATTTTCACTCCAAACTGGTAGTTAGACAGCATATAGTATATAGTTGTTTGGTTTAGGTAATAACAAATATTGTTGCCTTTTACCCCTTTGATGATAAGTATTAGTTCATAGCAGCTGGGACTCGGCCCACTGTGCGCTGGGAGTTGTTTACAAGGGGAGCAGCACGATGAGAGAAAAGCTCTGGCGCAAAAGCTATCTCCGAAAGTATAGCGAAAGTATAAAGTGAGAATCGCTCCGGATTTTGCTGCGAACGGTCGTCTGTTCAGGTTCAGGTCTGTGTTGTGTCTATAGTCTCCGTCTCCTCTTCGCTGTCGCACACGCAAACGGGTCTACGCCACACACACGCGCACCCACGCAACGGAATCAGAGAACTATATAGAGCCGCCACAGAGAAGGGACATAACTAGGACACCATGTCGAAGCCCCAATCGGACGCCGATCGGCGCAAACAGATCTCGGTGCGCGGCATCGCCGAGGTGGGCAATGTCACCGAGGTGAAGAAGAACTTCAATCGCCACCTGCACTACACCCTGGTCAAGGATCGCAATGTGTCCACCCTGCGGGACTACTACTTCGCCCTGGCCAACACCGTCAAGGACAACATGGTGGGCCGCTGGATTCGCACGCAGCAGCACTACTACGAGAAGGATCCCAAGGTGAGTTCCACGCCCAGCCAGGCCACCCAGTTATTGATTTACATAGGCCGTGGAATTTTCCAAAAAGCAGTGGTTGGACCACCTAACCTTACTTTGTCCGGGCTCTGGTGGCCTTTGGCCTGATTAACCCTCTCTGCGGCATTGAAAACAGTTCAAATAATTCACTTAGAAATATTTTTTTCCGAAATTTCTTTGGCTATTACGACATTTTTTTCGGCCTGCTCCATTCTCTTTTATTCGCTGCTGATTTATTCCCCAATGCGCTTTGGCCAACGAATTTACAGTGAATACTCTGCATAATCCAAAACCTTAAGTGGGAAACCAAAAGTATCTGAAAACGTGTTCTAAACAATTGCAACCGTTTTGCATTTAGCTTATATTTTAACATATTCTTATATTCGGCTATTGTCCTAGTTATAGTTTAACTGTCACATACAGAATTCCTTATTTTCTTACCCCTTATTTCAATAATTCCATCAATTTCCGAGTGTTCACTGTTCGTTCATCTGCAATTTCGGCTTTAGTGCATTTCCCACGCTTTCGTTGTTTTGCTACTACATAATTGTTTCGTTTCATTTAATTATCCGCGAAATTGCCAAAAAGCAAAGGCTGCAATGGGATCAATGCCAAGAAGTAGCGCCAAAAAAAAAGAGTGTGACACTTTCACTGCAACAAATTGGAAAGGTGCTGAATAAAGCCGGCGAATTTATCAGCCTCCCCCTTTTTCCGCGCCCACTTGACAATTTTCCCCGCCAGCTGACGAAGCAACAAAAGCTTAAAAATAGCTCTGCATTTAGCAGCTGTTGCCGAGCTACTTCTATATCTAGTCAAACATATTTATGAGTTTTTAGTAATAAGTATTCCCTGGGGCTGTGGCGAATAGCCCAGAAAATGCAGCTTAAGTGGGGCAAGTGTGCACTGTAAGTGCCCCCTTTTAGCCGCATCCGTCAGATACACAATATATATAGATACATGTATCCAAACACGTGCCCAAACCGTGAGCTTTTCATTTGCAAATTTCTGAGCATCGACTGCTAAACATTTTTGTCCTTGCTGAATGTCAGCTCAAATAACTTTCAATTTCAAGCCCACCAAAATGTATCTATTAATTTTCCATTGACTCGAGCAATTTCGAGCTATATACGCTTTTGGGCGATAAATATTTTCAATTCAACTAAATTGTGGATACCGTCACGGCGTCGACACACATTTTTTCAAGGTCAATGAAAGGTTATTAACAACAACCAACTGACAAAAATATCAAGGAAAATTTTCCCCAATTTTTCCTCTCTCAGTTTTTAGTTTGGCTACCATTTCGGTTTCTGTTCGTGTGCATATATGTATATATCTGTATGTATATATCAGTTCTTTCAGGTTGTGGAACTTTTATAGGCCCGATTTTGTTTAGTTGTCCCCCCACATGCAATTAGCTCACGCAACCATCAGAACATAAACCGAAATATATGTACTGCTAGCTGACTATTGTATCTTGTAGATACTTGAACAGCTGTTGTTGCGCGTAGAATGGTACTTAGAGTTAATTGAAGACAAGTTGCCGTCCATCGGGCTGTGAACCAATTTATGCAAATTGAAGAAAGTTCAGCGGGGTGAATAGTCACACAAAAGAGTTTATTTTCCTGTAGCTGTAGTTTTCCACAGCCGTTCTAGTCAAGCTGACCAAATCGAAAATACTGCTCCACTTATCACCCACATGGAAACCCAATTACAATCGTTAGCTATCAGCGATCATGATAGATTCAATGCCGCGGCAGCAGTACTATTGCATTTCCAACTTCCTATGCACATCTGTCATTTATTTACTGCATATATGTAGGTGAAAAAAAACAATAAACAGATACCGATCGTTGGTCTTTATCAAAGCCGCAAAAAAACATATGTCTGGGTTCTAATTTATCTGTAGACCTGGCCAGAACGAATATGAAAGACCCTACACAACAAACTGCCGTGGAAAACATCACCGCCGGTAGTTGAATGACTTCAAAAGCTTTTTATGGATCTGAAAGATTACTCACGTTTTGTTGTGGAGCTCTTTATCTTCGATTAGATAAGCCTAATAGGTTATTCACTTATTTTTTTGTGCAGCAGAAAGGTCATGCTTAGAACTGATTTTAAAATTTGGAAGTCCCAGATTGATTATCTGATTATCAAACACCTACTAGTCATAACTAATACTTCTATACTTCTATATGTATATTGATATAATCAATTATGGGTTTTATCACAGCATTCGTATTGCCCAAATCAGTTGATACTCCCTCCTTACCAAATTCTGCATATCTTATCTGCTAAATGGTTAGCAAAGTATTCCTAATCGAAAGTCCCGGATCCTATATAGACACCTTAACCCCATTCACCTACAAATATGCACACAGAAACACGCTCTCCAAACATTCCGAACTAATTAGCTATAGTTTTTTGCCGGATCGCATAGCATCAGACATCTGAAGCCATCATGCGCGATAGGTATGCGTTTTAGGGCATAGATTACATAGGTAGACTGATAAGGGATAGGATTAGCATACCCTGGGAGCCATTAGCTGTTGACTGGCGACACTGTGGGCGATGTTGTCGTCAATGGTGATCGGTGATTGGTGATCCGAGATCGATGCATGATTAGCCCAGCATTGGCTGGTGATAATGGCCCCGATTCCGAGCCGTATAGATTCATGCTTTGCCATGATGTTTGCCCAGCATGCAAAGTGCATGCCTGCAATCGGTTGATAGCGTTGCTATAAACACAATTAATGCCCTCGTAACATCGATCGATAGATTCGCACTGAATCGAACCGGCGATTGTGAATGCCTTCCTCTATTTATAGTTTTCCAGTTGGGTTGCTCGGAAATCACCGTGCGATTTCTTGCTGATAAGCTGGTATTCCATTGGGAGTCGTATAGTTGGGAACTGGGTGACCTTCTGGCCAAACATAACTAGGTCTTTCAGCCGAAGCCGGCGCCCCTCTTATCAGGCTTTCGGTGAATTATACTTATTGTATGCACTGTACAGTGGAACCTGGACTGAGTGGCCCTTGCACTTGGCTGATCACTACGGAAATGCACTAATGAAATAACTTAATGAATCATGGATACTATATATTTGATTTTAGATTTTGGAAAGACCTAATGATAGCCTCTGTTTTTTAGCGCGTCTACTATCTGTCGCTGGAATACTACATGGGTCGGTCCCTGACCAACACCATGATCAACCTGGGCATCCAGAGCGAGTGCGAGGAGGCCATGTACCAGCTGGGTCTGGACATTGAGAACCTTGAGGAGATGGAGGAGGACGCCGGTCTGGGCAATGGTGGTCTGGGTCGCCTGGCCGCCTGTTTCCTGGACTCGATGGCCACTCTGGGTCTGGCCGCCTATGGCTATGGCATCCGTTATGAGTACGGTATCTTCGCCCAGAAGATCAAGAACGGTGAGCAGGTGGAGGAGCCCGATGACTGGCTGCGTTATGGCAATCCCTGGGAGAAGGCCCGTCCGGAGTTCATGCTGCCGGTCAACTTCTATGGCCGTGTGATCGACACGCCCGAGGGCAAGAAGTGGGTGGACACCCAGAGGGTGTTTGCCATGCCCTACGACAACCCGATTCCCGGATACAACAACAACCATGTGAACACGCTGCGTCTGTGGTCCGCCAAGTCGCCCATCGACTTCAACCTTAAGTTCTGTGAGTATCTGATGAGATCGGTTCCGATTGTAGGGCAAGAACTAACCTATCGCTATCTTCACCTGTCCAGTCAACGATGGTGACTACATCCAGGCCGTGCTGGACCGCAATCTGGCTGAGAACATCTCCCGTGTGCTGTACCCCAACGACAACTTCTTCGAGGGCAAGGAGCTGCGTCTGAAGCAGGAGTACTTCATGTGCGCCGCCACGTTGCAGGACATCATCCGCCGCTACAAGGCCTCGAAGTTCGGTTCCCGGGAGGCGGTCCGCAACACCTTCGATCACTTCCCCGACAAGGTGGCCATTCAGCTGAACGATACCCATCCATCGCTGGCCATCCCAGAGCTGATGCGCATCCTGGTCGATGAGGAGCATCTGACCTGGGAGAAGGCATGGGACATCACTGTGAGGAGTTGTGCCTACACCAATCACACCGTGCTACCAGAGGCCTTGGAGCGCTGGCCCGTCTCCCTGCTGGAGTCGATCCTGCCCCGCCATCTGCAGATCATCTATCACATCAACTTCCTGCACATGGAGAATGTGAAGAAGAAGTTCCCCGACGATCTGGACCGCATGCGCCGCATGTCGATGGTGGAGGAGGATGGCGAGAAGCGCATCAACATGGCCCATCTGTCTATCGTGGGCTCCCACGCCGTCAACGGTGTGGCCGCCATCCACTCGCAGATCCTGAAGGACTCGCTGTTCCATGACTTCTACGAAATGGAGCCCCAGAAGTTCCAGAACAAGACGAACGGTATTACCCCGCGTCGTTGGTTGCTGCTCTGCAATCCCGGACTCTCTGACCTGATTGCCGAGAAGATCGGTGACGAGTGGCCAGTGCATCTGGACCAACTGGTTGCCCTGAAGAAGTGGGCCAAGGACCCCAACTTCCAGCGCAATGTGGCCCGTGTCAAGCAGGAGAACAAGCTGAAGCTGGCCGCCATTCTGGAGAAGGACTACGGCGTTAAGATCAACCCCTCATCCATGTTCGACATCCAGGTGAAGCGTATTCACGAGTACAAGCGCCAGCTGCTGAACTGCCTGCACATCATCACCCTGTACAACAGGATCAAGAAGGATCCCACAGCCAACTTCACCCCGAGGACAATCATGATCGGAGGCAAGGCTGCTCCGGGCTACTATGTGGCCAAGCAGATCATCAAGCTCATCTGCGCCGTCGGCAACGTTGTGAACAACGATCCCATCGTGGGCGATAAGCTGAAGGTTATCTTCCTGGAGAACTACCGTGTCACCCTGGCCGAGAAGATTATGCCCGCCGCCGATCTGTCGGAGCAGATCTCGACCGCCGGCACAGAGGCCTCTGGTACCGGCAACATGAAGTTCCAGCTGAACGGAGCCCTCACCATCGGTACCCTGGACGGTGCCAACGTGGAGATGGCCGAGGAGATGGGCCTGGACAACATCTTCATCTTCGGCATGACCGTCGATGAGGTGGAGGCGCTCAAGAAGAAGGGCTACAATGCCTACGACTACTACAACGCCAACCCCGAGGTCAAGCAGGTGATCGACCAAATCCAGGGCGGATTCTTCAGCCCCGGCAATCCCAACGAGTTCAAGAACATTGCCGACATTCTGCTCAAGTACGACCACTACTACTTGCTGGCCGACTACGATGCGTACATCAAGGCCCAGGATCTGGTCTCCCAGACTTACCAGGTGAGAGTCCTTGATTTAGCCATGTGGTTTAGGGAAGTACCAGTCAAATAGTAGCAAAATAAGTAGGAACAGGAGTAGAGTAGATCTTTATTTAAGCCACCTTTCTTTCGCTTAACTTGCAGAACCAAGCCAAGTGGCTGGAGATGTCCATCAACAACATTGCGTCCAGCGGCAAATTCTCGTCGGATCGCACCATCGCCGAGTACGCCCGCGAGATCTGGGGAGTCGAACCCACCTGGGAGAAGCTGCCAGCGCCGGAGGATCAGCCACAGAACTAAATCAATTTTCGATATTATTTTAATTTTTACTTTACTTTATTGCTTTACTTTTGCTAAAGTCAAAGTTCAAGTTTAGGCGCCAAAAGCAACAACTAAAACTAACCAAGTAAACACGGGCCACAGCCCAGAATTGTTAATATTTTATTTAATAAAAATCAAGATAAACAATTCGCCTAGTTCTCTCATCACTGTGGAATCGAATCAACAACACCAACAACGGTACCTACCTAAAAAGACCTCAGGAACACTTTCAAAGTATAACAAAAAAGTCTATTAAAAATAATGGAAAGAGTTGTAATAAAAGTTAGTGGCAAGCTTGTTTAGATATCGGATATGCGTGTTTTAAATCGAGATTAAACCTCAAGTTCAACTGTTAAATGTAAAAATAATTTAAATTGAATAAAATTTGATTCGAAATAGAAAGCCGTGTCATGCTGTTTCATTGTGGGAATGATAATACGACGAATGATAAATAATACGACGAGTTTACATCTTAATCTTATTGCAAATGAACTATTTATTATGTTTAAACACAATCTGAACATCTATATTCGGGGAATGAACGTTTCATACAAATATTATGGCTATTACAGTTCCCATACAGTAAACACAAAGGTTTTGTAAATTTTACAATGTAATTGTTGGATTTCTTTTAAAATATTCACTAAAAAAATTGTAAAAATTTCAAAAGTAGTTTCGTTCTTTGTTACAATGGATGGATAGGCCATTCAAAATTCTTTAAAAGTTAAACAAAATGCGCTCCACAATGCACAGATCGGGCGACCAAATGCCCGGATCGCATTCAATAGTTGACTCTGGAGGACCGGGTGGACTTGCTGATGTACTGCCGTTCCTCGCCCCGCGAGCCGCTGGCTCCTCCTCTTTCTCTATCGAATTTCTCGTGTGATCGCTCCCGCGGTGACTTTTCCTATGGATTGGGAACCATATTAGTTGTAATCCACCAATTCCAAAAGTGGGCAATGTTGAGGACGACTGGATACAACACTCACCCTATGACGATCTCTATCCCGCAGTTCTTCTTCACCATTTTGTGCTGAAAATCGTTCGCTATTCAAAGTCTTGACTATCCGATAAATGATTCTTCTCTCACCTTCGCGTCGGCGCTTGTGTTCGTTGCTATTGGACTCTTCGACGCGATCGCGCTTGCGCCCCAACTTGCGATCCTTGCGAGCATCCCGCTCCTCATCCGACAGCTTGTCCCTGTTGCGCTCTTTGGTCTTGAGGCCGCGCGCCTTCTTTACGCTGTCCACCAGTTCCTCCACCTTCTGCAACGGCACAGGATTAATGGTTGTAAAAACTTGCTTCCTCTAAACGTTAAAGGGTGTGCGTTTAACTACTTAAAACTGCAACAAAAACCGAAAAGGTACAACTGTTTCGCTGTTCGCCTGTGTCTGTTAAGTGTCCTCTGTCTTATATGGTTTATAAGTCCGCCGACCCCATCACGCGCTCATCACTTACCCGTGCACAGTCTCAACATCAACGAATTAACAACTAAACTGGGCTGCACAGGTAACTGCAGGTTGTAAATCAGAGAAGCGGCTGACTCAGGCTGATCCACTAGGAATCCTCGGGAATTTTGGGGCTTTCACGAAGGCGGTATTGAAGAATTGTTCAGCAGCAAGTATTCCACAGATTAATTGAATTACTTTTGTCCTCGTTAGCTTTGTAAGTTGGTATCCGTTTATAACTTCATATGGGCAGTCGGAGAAGAGGAGCGTACATTTGATTCAAAATGTAAATTTGATGATTCTTTTGCAGATTCGAAATGTAAAAGTGGCTTGTTGAACGAAGTTGTTTGATCCAGCGCAAATGCAGCTCTTTTTTACTGTAGACTGCACATTGGAAAATAGGTTGCGATTTTGACTTCAGAAGATTGGTTTTGAGTTACAGGTGCTTTCTATCAATCAGTATTTTGACTTTTACTGAATGATTATCACAAGTTAGCAAAGAGATGCCCTTTTCAGTACAGGTTTCCAGAATCTCGACTTATTGTTGCAGTCCTTTTTGTAGTTTTTCAAAGTACAAAGTACATTTGTTGAAGCCTTTGTAATTTGTTGTAACTTATGGCAGCCGTAGTAACGATGATTTAAATTTTTTTCCGTGAAGATTTTAGGGTAGAATATAGTTGATTTATTTTTCCGTCAAATGTAATCCAGTTTTGGTTGGTTGTAGAACTTTCCGCCTTCGTCGTTCATGATAATTTGGTTTTGTAAGATTGTCCTCCGCGCTTCCTGCGAGATTCGTCTTCTTACAATCCGTTGTCGTCTCTATGGTCCCGATTCTCCAAATTGGTTTCTTATTTACACAACTACTCTTATACTATTACAATTAATTAACAAATTTAGAAAAAAAAAATTCCTTTTAGGTAAAATAACGAAGATCCTTTTACAATGATTCACTTTTCTCTTATAACTTAGCTTAAAAGTAACACCCCGGAATGTTCTACACTTAGAACTGAGGAATACTGAAGATGCCCAGAAGATCCATCGCATCCGCATCAAGATTCAGTTTTAAATTATTGATTTTTTGTTTTGGGATGGCGGTGGCAGGAGCGTTATTGATTCGTTGATTTTGAAGTTGTAGCTTCGAGCAGAAAATGGTGATGAAAAACGTTTTAAGTTTCGCATAATCAATCAGAACCTCGAGTACTCTCCCTCCAGATTTGACCGTCATCGTAGTGTTGTTTTATACTGTTGTTGTCTTAGCGTACTTATGTCTGCAACCATATGCTACTAACCTTTGAACTGCTGGTTGACGACTCCAATTTGCGACGCTTTGAATCTACTAAAACGCATGGTTAGAATGCAGTCTTCTGATTTATATGGTCTACGCACCTTTTTCGAATTCAATGGTCTCATGGCTACGTTGCCGATGCTGCATCGAACCGTTGCTTTCGTTGGACACTGAGCTCAAGTCCCTCATCCGCCCCTCGAACTCCTCGTAGTGACGATTATCGGTGCTGCCCACCAAGTCCACCGTTTCGACGCCATCCCCATGCCGGTTGCGCTCTTCGCCGCCGCGTCGCGTTTGCTTTTCGCGCTTCCGCTGCTGCGCTTCCAACTCCTCCATGAGACGTTCCCGCGACCTCTGATGCTGTTCGGCTTCTGTGCGCTCCTTGACCCGCACCGGGTCTCTGGAACTGCGATGGGTACTAATGCTTCGCTGGTCGTGCTGATCCTGTCTGTCTCGATCCACATCCCGATTACGGCTCTCGCTCTGTCTGTTACCATTGCTGCCGTTGTTTGCCTGCTCCTGCTGGTCATCCTTGCTGCGTGATTGGGACTCGCGTGGCGCGGGCAGATCACGTTGTTTGCTCTCGCGTTCACTGTTGGATGCCGTTGAAGTGGCTGTGGACACCAAGGTGACGGTATTGCCCTCGCCTTTTTGGCTCTTTGATTCGCGCGTTGTGGAAGCTAAAACGTGTAAAAGATTGTTGTTGTTAAGCTCAAATATTGATTTTATATTCATTTGATATTTCAACGCACCTGCTTTTGTTTCTGGTTCTTTGTTGCCTGACTTTTGTTCGTTGCTGTAGAATGGGGCAGCTCCGCTGGTAGCCCTTGTTCCTTGGGTATGTGCAGATGGAGAGGTGGGTGACACTTTATCGGATCTGATGGGTGCGGCAGAAGCGCTAGCATTGGTCGGCGACTCCTTATTCGGCCGCTCGGCAATTTGATGAAAGACACTCTCCTTCAGCATGTGGGGAGTCTTCAGCTTCAGCTGGCCAATGTAGCTGGAGGCAATGGCATACAGATCCGGTCGCTTTGTCTTCTCCTCCTCGCGGACCTTGTCCACCTTACGCTCGATGATTTGCGCCAGTTTGGCAAGAACTGGATAGTGAGGCAGTATTCGCATTAGGATGATCAGTGCATTTCTGATCTGCATAAAGTCCTTCGAGTCCAAACAAAATACAATCGCCTTGGTAATCTTGTAGTGCCACTTGTGACACACATGCCGATAGTTTTCGTAGCCAACGTGATCGTTGGCCTCTGAGAATTGATTGCTAACACGAAACTTGGTCACAAAACCAGGATAATTGGCGCACTCCTTATTAAACACCGCCTGATCCGCATGCCAACGCATCACGGTCTCGAGCATGGCGCACAAAAAGCGTCCGTACCGCGTAGCCTCGCCCTCAGTGCACGAAGTAACCGAATAAGTGATGTCACAAAAGATCTAAGGAAAAGATGAATGAGTTAGATCGATTTTAGGTAAAGATATTTAGTGTTATTACCCTATCGTAGCACAGTAGGGTAGAGAAGTTCGATGTCTTGAGGTTGTGGATGGCGTGCACGAACTTCGCGCAATATAGCGCATCCAGAGCGGTAAAGGTGCAACGCGGGAAGAGGCAGAGCTGCAGGAACTGCGTGATGGTGTCGTTCTTTGCGGACTTGGCAGATCGTAGAAGGAACCAACTATCTTTTTGCTCCTGCAACCGCTGCGAGATCTTGTCGACGTGCTCATGCTGCTTTTTACGCTCGTCGTTCAGCTTCTCCATTAGCGCAATGTAGCGCTCCTGCTCCTTCTTGTTCTTTGATTGGTTAGAGTCTTTGCCTTCTGCCGCTTGCTGGGCCAGTTGTTTCAGCTTGGCAATCTCCCTCTGATAGCTTTCGTTCGGCACGTGCAGATCGTACATGCTCAGACTCCAAAAAGTTACCAGAAACTGCGGACTAATGTCCTCCCACACCTTGGAGCTGTGCAGCGGACGAACAGACTCTACAATGGGGTTCATGATCAGCTGCGTGGCTTCCAAATACTTTTGCAGCTTTTGCGTCGTGGTAAGCTTCTTGGCATTGGGATCAGCTTTGCGCAATTGATCGTATTTTTGCTGCAGGAGGTATTAGGTTTAAATTGAAATAGTATGCCTCAGAATGGATTGTCCAGACTTACATTGATCTGATGCGTGAACATGGGCCTAGCCAAGAAAAAGGCGACATCTGTGTTTATGTGGTACTCTCGGAGCATGGTAATAATCGAGGGTAACCGCTCCACATACTCATCCACAGAATAGGTGGAGCCTAGAAAAGTACCAAACTGGACGAGTGTGTCCTGGCACTGATCATACAGATTTCCCACCAACTTCAAATGGCTGTGCGCCGCCGTCTCACGATAAATGACGCAGTGCTTCTGTTGAGCCATCAAAAGGCAAATGGCCACGGCAAGATCATTGTTGGCCAAGGCCTCCTTCAGGCGATTTGATGACTTTTTCGTGTTCCTCACTTGACTAAAGTAGCCAGCCTAGGACAACAAATACACTCAATTAACTGAAGAATAATATAACAGAGATAAGTATATTACCTCTCCCCTGAGCTGTTCTCCGCCACACATGGCTTGCAACTGATCATTAGTCATCTCCTCGCAGGACTCCACGCCTGCCATTTTATGCACGATCTCTCTCAAAATCAGTAAGTCCAGGCTCTTCTGCGATTTCAGCTGATTGGCCACATACTGAAGCAACCCACTCAGCTCAATGCTGTACTTCTTGTAGATGGTGCCGCAAAAGGAGGCAAGACTTTGCAGCCACAAGGATAACGACGTGCCATCATCCTTGAACCTGAGACGACCCGTTAAAGTCAAGGACTCGATGATGCAGTATCCCAAACAGTCAAAGGACAAGGCAGTAAGATACTTAAGCATGTCGCAGACTGGCCCAATTAGATTGTCATAGATTTGAATTTGCAAGAGAATCTATTGAAATAGTAATCAAAATAAATAAACTTATTTGGAAAAGTACTTAAATGAAACTCACATAGTCGAACAGCAGTCCTGGGGCACAATGGCTGTACTTTCCTACCAGACGTCCCAACTGCTTGACGTTCTCCTTGCTGACGCGCTTCATTAGCGCCTTGATATCCCTCTGTGCCAATCCACATCGCCTGATCAAATTGGGATGCATCTGGTAGCTGTCGTTCTTCCAACGCGCATACAAACTGTAGCGAAAATGATACGGGAAATACTTGAGCACAGCCCAAATCTCTTCGGACATGGAGCAGTTGTTGTCTAGATAGAGAAGGGAGGGTAGAATGCAGGCATCCAGCGAGCTCATAATGTCATAGTAGTGCTGCTCTGCCTCCGAATTCGGCGGAGGACCATTTAGGCTGTCTACGCCCATATCGATTACAAGCTTCCGCATGATACGGATTAGCTTGTACATTAGCACAGTGTCGTAGTGCATGGCAGGTCCCAAAACATTAGCCATCGGCCAAGTGTACTTCCTTAAGTCGCTGAATTCCCTTGCCTGCATCTTGGCCACCAACTTGGAATCGTCATACAACCGATTTCGGCTTTGTCTTCGTCCAGCGGGAGCCTTAAAGCACTTCTTGTAGTAGATATTCTCCACGGACAGGTGAATAAGATCGGCAATGGCACGGGCAATGGGTTCCTGCAGTACTACAGCCTGTTCGGGAAGCTTCTGGATGATCTTAGACGCATTTTCCCAGTCGCCAACTTTAAGCAGAGCCTCGCAGAGACCAAACTTTTGGTTAGCATTGTATTTTTCCTGTGAAAAAAATGATATCGTTAGTAGAATTCCCTACGAAACGTTTACTAGCTCTACCTCGTTGAACTTCTTAACCGTGGGAGGCGGTGGTGGATCCTTTTCGTCTTCCTTCTTGTTGGTTTGGATAAGGTTCAGCTTGCGGACCATTTCCCTGGCATCCGCCAGCTCTTCCTCCCAGTCCGCCTTTATGCTGCCATCGTTCGGAGTCAACCACACGTATACATCGTTCAGCGTGATGACGTCGTGCTTAAGCAAAAGAGCACAAACATGGTATAACGAGCGGGGCGTGCGAGAGTCCTTAAAGTGGCAGAACTTATATCCGAGGACCTCGCAAATAATGGCACCAGTGGGCATGTAGCTGCGCAGCAGGGGGATAAACAAGTTCCATCGATCCGGACGAGTTTCAAAGGACTCAATAATAATGTCCAACACGCGATTCGGATCCAGATTAAAGCAACCTGCAAATTAAGTAGCAATTAATAAGTAAACTTAGATAAGCGCTTGTAATATATTGGTATGACACTATTTTCAAATATACATTGCTAACGAAAATATGTTACCTATAAGGGATTTTATGATATCCATTATGCTCTCAGGGGTGGTGCTCTCGTCGAACTCCTGGTTTAGCTCTGTGATAAGCTTGGCGAACCCTTCGCTCTCCTCGCGGAAAAGATTAAACCGACGCTGCTTATAGCTTAAAAGGAATGTAGAAATTACATATTGTATCAACCTTAAATCGCTTTTATAATACATACTATAACTTGGTTTTGACCTTGATGAACTTGGAGTAGAAGCTTTTATTCTTGACGATTCCCACCTCCTGCAGGGTATCGATTTCCAATCGCTCTTTTAAAAGACTTTCTGGAACCACCTTATCCAGGTCCTTAACAAGTTGCACAAAGGCATGTCGTTCTTCCTGAAATCCATCGGTTATGAGGGAGGTTTCGCTGTCCAGAATGTTAACCACGTCTACTATAAGGCTGGGAAAGTCCGCATGGAGGGGCTGAAACATTAGAATATATTTAAATTAACACATGTAATCCATCTGTTACGGAGTAATAAAACTACAATTACAGATTTACACTCACCACGACTTCCAGGAGCAGGTGGAGTACTATGTCCTTTTTGTGGGTGAAGCGCAGGGCCTGCCAGAGAAGCTGGTAGATGGCATTGGAGATGCCCTGCTTGAAGACGCCGTTCTTGTCGTAGACGGGCGTATCCGCCGCATCCTGTAACTGCTGCTTGAGGTACTTCAGGCTAGAAGTAAACGGTTTATTTAGCTAGGGAACGAGGAACAGTCTGTCCAAACAGTCGATCCAGCAGCAAGACACAAACTGACGGCAGCCACTGTACTGCGAGTGCGAGTGTTTGGGCGCGTGTGCGTATATCTCTGGCTGCGTTTGCATCGGTGTCGGAGCGTGGTACCACACACGTACAATTCGCTGCGTCCGGATTTGTCGAGGTGCTTGAAGACCTCCGGATTCAGTGTGCCAGGCTCCTTGCCGCCGGCTCCGCTGCTGGCGGCTCCTCCGTTCGTGTCCGACGATGCGGAGGTCCGGTTTTCCGCCGTCGCCGCAGCATCGCCGCTTCCACCGCCATCCTTTGGTCCCGTAACGCTCTTCAGCTTCTTCAGCCGGCGTATCCGGTCTGTGGATCTCTGCATCCTCCAATCAGGTGGAACACGAGGGCGGTTTGCTGTGGGGCCTGAATTCTGCTCCCGAATCGATTAAGTAGCTGTACTTGTGGAAATATTTGACAAATTTTCACACTTTTTTTTAGTTAGTTGACCAGTGTGACCGTGCCGCTTGCCTAACTAAATGCCGTTCGCCGAAACGAAAACGTCCAACTGCCAAATCCGAGTTTCACAATATCTTTTTTTTGGAACGTTGGACATGGAACATAAAACAAGATATAATCTTGAAATATATTTTAGGTGAAGTTTACTATATTTATATATTATTATTATATATTTAAAATAAATATAAATGTTTCCTACGTCACGTAAACAATACAATTCAACTAATGAGATTGTTTTCAAACATTTTGCCTGATTTATTTGTTAATAACAATGCGTGACGTATAACAAGGAAACGTTTGGAATGAAACCGAAACCATTTTAGGATTATCTCCCTCTTAAAATGTTTTCCCTCTTTTATAAATTGTATGCGCATATAAATAAGGGGTCTATTTAAAATCGGAATCTGAAGTCAATCCAAATCCATCAACACTCCTTCCAGATGAAAGCCCAAAGATAAGCCAAACCTCAAACTTTTAACAGCATCAGCAGTTCTTATCTTTATGTTATATATTGCTTAAGAACAGGTCACAACTGCCATTAACGGAGTCCAATCTATTGCCCAATAGAAATCAATGTTTTACAAGCAAGTCAATGTTCTTATGCTAACGATTTTGCCAACTACTCATGTTTGAGTAGTGTTTCCTCTAAAACTTGCAACAATATAAATGAAAGAAATATTTGTTTGGTAATTCCTTAGAAAATTACTGCTGAATGTAAAATCGTATAAATTTGGTAGAAAGCTGAAAACGAAGTTTTCATACTAAGGGTTCATTCTCTATCTTGACATCGCACTCAATCATGGAGCTGTCCACATAGTCTATTGTAGATGGCGATTGTAGAGCACTGGATAGATGGCAATGGTTTTTCTCCAGCTGAGAGGCAAAACTCGAATTCGGGGCGGGCGTTAGTTTGGGCAGCCCTCGCTCAGGAACGGCTCCTGGTTCCGCCGCTGTGAGCATCTGTTGATCCTCCTCCCTGAGTTCCACTAGAACACGCGCCATCTCCATTCGAAACTTGAGGTTGCTAATGGGTGACAGACACTTGACGTGAGGCATCATGCTTAGCATAAAACTTAAGTCCGAATCGTTCTTAGCATCGGCTTCAGTAACAGTTTTTGTCGCCTGGCTGGCGTATCCATTTAAAAGGGGGCCATCGTTCGACGGCGAAGTCTTCCTCCGACGTACTCTCTTCGAGGGCGGTGGTGGACGTGGCAGGAATTGTTGATGGCTCGGCAAGTGCATGGGCAACGTGGGCGAAAGATCCTGATCGGAGCGATGGGCGCCCGAGGATGAGGAGTCCAACGGCTTAATCAGCGAACCTTTATCCGAGCCCGAGTCCTGGGGCACTGACGGTTCCCGCTGGAATATGTCCTCGATGATCTCAAAATCAACAGAGTCATCATTGTCCAAATCCACATCGATCGCGAAGTCAACTAGGCGGGTGGGGTCACAGACGTCCGGCTGATCGGTGTCCATAACGAAGGGCTCCGGGGGAAAGGGCACCAGACGCTCCGGATCGAAGATGTGGCGCATGAACTCTAGTGAGCGGAAGTACGGCCAGTGGGACATCTCGATGCGTTTCTGCTGTATCTTGCGCACCTCCGCCCGGTAACTGTCCCGCATTCCCTTGAAACGTTTCTTGCAGAGCGCGACTGCAATTTGCCAGGTGTTATTTATAGGTTTCCTAGGCATAAAAACAAAAAACCCGTCTCGATTTCCCGCCACTCACCATCCTGCTGCATAATCTGCGCAACACTCGCCCACTGGAGCGCTGCGTCCTGGTTGCGGTACGCCATGGACATGTTGGTATCCCACAGACACCGTCGCTTAGACACCTCCACTATGAGACGGTAGTTATCTGATTTCATGGCGTACTAGACCAGAAACTGCGGTTTGTCAACAAATGCAATGCCCCGGAACTTGAGAATGCCAAACTTTCAACGCGATGTTCACAGCATTCACCGCGCTCACAGCAAACTGAACGAATGTGTGAGCGAACCAACTCAATCGTACGACTTTTAAATCCCGAAATTCTGGCTTGCTTTGCTGCGTTTTGAGTGAATATACAAAACTTCGCTGTTGCTAAATCTCGCAAATTCGCTTTGCCACTTCAAATAAAAGAAGTAACTACGCCTGGCAACTCTGGCCAAACAGCTGCTTAACGGTATTACCAGCTGCAAGCAAAACGGCCACACCAAAGGCAACATGACACTAACTGAATTTATTTCGCCGAAGGATTTATTAAAAACCTTACTAAATAACTGCAGTTGTGTACAAAAAGGTCAATTTATAGATAGAAAAGATAAAAGAAAGACCCTTTCGGTCGGAAAACAGTGCGAAAGCAATTGGTTCAGGGATAAGAATACGTTATTTACATACCATTTTACTCTTCAATGCACTGAAAAGAGTGGTGTCACAGCAGTATGTTTTCGTTGGGGTTGCAACCCTGGTAGCAAAACAAATGATTCACAAACGAATTGATTTTGTTGCCGGCTGTGGGTTTAAAACTCAATAAAGAAGTTAAGCAGCCATGTCGAATCCCGTGGAGGAGTGCAAAGATGAGGACCTGCCCGCAAATACGCTGGAGCACTTCAGCGAACTGCAGCAGGTGGTGGAGATGATCGAAAACATAAAATCCATTGCCGCTAGCACCTTTGAAAGAGAGTTCGAGCAGTACGCCCAGGTTTTGTCCAGATATCAGGAGCAGCCCCACCTGCTGGATCCACATTTGGAGGAGTTGCTCGGCAAACTGCTCCACAAGATTCGGAACCCAAATCTGGACACGGGAGAACTCCATGCCGCCTTCAAATATCTCTACATCATCTGTAAAGTTCGCACCTATAAGGTCCTGGTGAAGTTTATGCCACACGAACTGAGCGATCTTGAGTTTGTCCTGGATCTGCTGGGTAAGCAGAATCCCAAGGAGTTCGAGCAGTGGGAAACGCGCTATATACTGCTCTTGTGGATGTCTATCCTGGTTTTGAATCCCTTTCACATGTCGAGACTAGATGCCTATGACACTTCGCCTTCAGCTCCCACCACCAATTGCAGTCCCGTGAACCATGTCCAGCCGAAGAACACCAAGATGGATCGCATCTTTGAGCTGATCCAGCTTTATGTGTCCTCCAACGACACCTGCAGCAGCATGGCTGCATTCCTGGCCGCCAAGTATTTCATTCGCAGTGACATCAAGGATCTATATCTGGAGCGTTTTCTGGAGTGGATCATGAAGCAGCACCAAGCGGACACGGTGGATGTCAAGTTCGGCCAGCTGGCTGCAGTGGCTGCTATTTTAAAGCACGGAAAGCGGGAGGACCTTCTGCCCTATGCGGATAAACTTCTTCAGTGGATCACTTCCTGTCAGTACAAGGATGACAATGACTTCCTAAAGTACAAGAATTATGTAAAAATCGTCCAGAGAATTGGATTGGTTCATTTGAAGCCACGTATTGCCAGCTGGCGGTATAAAAGAGGTAAGCTTGGGTTCGGAATTCACGCATAAAAACATAATAAACCAGTGTTTACTTAGGTACTCGTTCACTGGCCACCAATTTAAACCAGACAACGGCAGCACGAGGTGAACCAGCTGTTTTGGAGCCATCGCTAGAGGAAGGCGAGGAAATAGTTGTACCCGATGCTATAGAAGAGGTGATTGAGGAGCTGCTCCAGGCACTGCGTAGCGGAGGAAACGATATACGCTGGAGTGCCGCCAAAGGATTAGGCAGAGTCACCAATCGCCTGCCCAAGGAGCTGGCCGATGAGGTTATAGGCTCAGTGATTGATATACTTAACCCACTGGAACCCCACGAGGCCTGGCACGGTGCGTGCCTGGCTTTGGCAGAACTGGCCAAAAGGGGATTGTTGCTGCCACATCGATTGGAGGAACTGGTTCCTCTGCTTATGCAGGCGCTCTTCTACGATGAGATGAAGGGCTACATGTCGGTGGGCCAGCACATCCGAGATTCAGCCTGCTATATGTGCTGGGCATTTGCCAGGGCTTACAATCCGGATGATGTGAAACCCTTTGTGCACAAAATCTCATCTGGCTTGCTGACCGTTGCAGTGTTTGATCGCGAGGTGAACTGCAGGCGGGCTGCCTCTGCCGCTTTTCAGGAAAGTGTTGGACGCTTGGGAAACTTTCCCTTCGGAATCGAGATCTCCACCACAACAGACTTCTATTCCGTTGGCATCCGGCAGAATTCCTACCTAAACATCAGTGACTACATTGCACAGTTTGAAGTGTACAGAGAACCATTGATTAATCATCTGGTACAGCATAAGGTAAACCATTGGGACCCGGCTATAAGGGAGCTGACAGCCAAAGCCCTGCACAAACTCTCCCTTTGGGAGCCCGAGTACATGGCCGCTGTGGTGCTCCCTCAACTGCTGGCCAAAACTGACACCATCGATATTAACTGCCGGCATGGCTGTGTCTTGGCCATGGGAGAAATAACACTGGCCCTGCGCAAGCTGGAGGAAAAGAGTGATCCCCAAGTGGTTTACCTGTCCAACCAAAGGGTTGTGGAGCTCAATGAGTTAATAACCACGTTCCTAGACAAAAACTGCTATCGCGGAATGAGCGGAGAGCTGATGAAATCCTGCACGAGCAACTACATCAAGAACTGCAGTCAGGCCAAGTTGCAGACTACGCCGGAGTGCTTGGGTAGGAAATGAGTCACCAAAGTATAGTAAGCGTTTTATTTGATTATGTTTATTCTTTTCAGCTTCCTGGCAGAATGTCATCGACTCCTGTCTGGTCACCAAGTCAAACTCCATTCGAGAGTGCGCTGTAGAGGCGTTCGGCGAACTCAGTGCCACCTATTACTGCTCGGATTCCAGACACCAGGAAAACGAAGCCATAATCAGTGCTTATCTAAGGGGAGCAGAGAACGATTTGGAGGAGCACATTCGGATGGGCTACATTGCTGCTCTGGGTGTGCTCCCCTCCCTTATGATCCGTACTCACCTGCCAGCTATAATGGACAGTCTAGTGAAGCACTGCCTAACTCCACTGCAAGCGGTTCTGGTGGGTGAAATGGGTGACCGCGAGAACATCCAGACATACAGGTGGAGTGAGGCACGGACACAGAGCGTGAGGGCCTTGACCAAGTTGGTGAAGACCGTGGGATATGGAGGGGGAATTGGTGAGTCTTAAATCATAGTTATTGGCATAGTTATATAGCATGTTTACTAATCTTAGTATACAATTTCTTTTTCAGACTCATTTGCTGAGACGAAAAACTTTAACAAGGTTATCGAATGCCTGTTGAAAGCTTTGGAAGAGTACACCCTGGACAACCGTGGTGACATTGGAGCATGGGTGAGGGAGGCGGCCATGTCATCGCTCTACGAAATCGTCACTACGTGTCCGCCTGATCTCCTCGCCCAAGAGCAAGTCCACAAGATTGTTGTGGGCTTTATGCAGCAGGCGGTGGAGAAGATCGATCGCACTCGTGGACTAGGAGGTCGTCTTTGTTGCCAACTGATCCATCATCAGCCCAGGATCCCCCACATACGGGAGCATTCAAAACTATTGGAAATATTGCCCGCCGATGCGGATTCCGTGCTTTGGCTATTTGCTGATCACACATTCCCTTTGTTCTGTGAGCTTCTCGCTCTGCCGGATTACTCTAAAAGAGTTCTTCTGGGCCTCAGTGCCAGCATTGGTCAACTAACTGAATCTCTTGTAAGTTGTATAGTTAATCTTTGCCTTAATCTCTAAAATATTTTTTCTACAGATCAAGTATGCCTCCAGTGCCTTATTCCACTTCTTGCGTTCCAATCCTGAGACTGTTCCACGACTCTGCTCTGAGGTTGTGCAGATCTTCGAGGAGCACCTGCTGAACGAGCGTGTGACCTATCCTCTGCTCAGTTTCTTAGATATACTCATTGGATCCGGAACTGTGGAATCGGTTCTACATGATGAAGCAAATCCCTTTGCAGAGGATATCTTTAAGCTGCTGAACCTGGAGGTTAAGGGCTACAAGAAGCTGTATAAGACTGCTACCAGCATCAGTGCTTTTTGCCAGTTGCTCCAGGTTCCTCGTTTGTCCAGACGCATCCTCTCCAAGCTCTCAGTATTCCTTGGACTGCAGCATGTCCACGTTCGCAAAACCGCTGCCACAAAATTGTACGAAGCGTTGGCGCTACACGGCGATGTCACCGAAGTGCCCGAGGAGAATATGGATGAAATCCTGACCCTGCTCTCGGAAACGGACTGGACATTGCCGCTGGTGGAGGTGCGTCCGCTGAGGAATCAGTTGTGCCAACTAATGGACATCAAGCCTCCCGTAAGTGGAGCAGCTGCAGCAGCCGCTTTGCAGCAAGCGAATGCTGATAAATAAATGTTCGGCATTGCAAGCTAGGCTTGCCCATATGTATTTAATATATTAATGCACAATTTTACTGACAACATAAGTGGTATTTATAAGAATTTTGTGAGACTTCTTTGAACTTGATATTGGCCGCACATCCTTATTTTAATTTCATATAATTAAATTAACCATTATTTTTCGTCATTTTTAATATTTATTTATCTTTTCCAAAACAAAGAAATTTTAAGTTCGATATTAAAACTACATCTACAGGAAATAAATAAAACTAATTATACAAATTTTTTATACCTAAATATATAAATTTTAGCTATTTTTATTAGCAATTTTAGAGCCAAATAATTTCTCAAAGGCGCTTGGCATTTCCCCTTATCACTACGACGGTCACACTGAAACAGAGACAGAAAAAAACAAGACAGGCGAGGGAATGAAAAATACAAATAAATTAAACGCGGACTACCCAAAAGCAAGAAGGGATAAAGGAGTCAAGATCAATTAAACACCGCCGGACTTCACACGGAGAAATTTGTCATAGAAATTGGTTCTTTTGTAAACAAAACACAAACTCGCAAAACACACGTTTCTTTCGCCGCACAACGTTGTTACGTTACACAATTGTGGATTGTGGTGTCACCTGTTCCGGAGCCAGTGTAAATCACGATGAGTATTTGGGGGGTTCGATGTCTGACGCAGAAGTTCATCCGGCAGGCGTACATCCTGGCCAACAGGAGGCTATTGGGTCCGGTGCCGCAGCGGTCGCCGCCGGCATACGGTAAGTGAGGTTATGGCTGGCCAAACCGATCCGTGTTTTCATGTTTTTGCTGACAACTAACTAGTATTCACCTCGATTTCAGCTCCTCTTCGGCCCGCGCACAGCAGCCTCTATCAAATGGTAAAGAAACGCACCCTCGAGGCGCGCACCAAATTGCAAGCCAACAAATATCCGAATCATCAAGTCTGTGTCGCCAAGCCCGCGACCACGCCCCCCGTTGAGGAGTACGAGACGGCAGTGGAGGCGACTGGTGTTCCCGTCTACGCCAATGCCCAGTTTCAAGCCCATTCCCAGTCGGAGCCACTCTTTAAAGTGGTACCCATTGCTCACACCATTCATCATCCATTTTAGTTGGATAAGTTCGGGGAAGCAAACTAGGGATTCTCGTTAAAAAAAACTGTGTTGGTGGCTTATATTTTCTCTCAAAGATTATAATAGTCGGTAGCCAATTTCCTACAAGCCTTGTGAAATTGATTAGCAGCGAAAATGTAGGGTTACTAATCCGAAACCAGTTTGCGTCCCCATTAAAGAATTACAGAGTTTCGAAACAAATATTAATACAAGTCATTTTCAGGGCTTTGCTGACGTCAAGTCCGTCTGCAGCGCTAAGGATGTGTTGAAGTCGGACAGTGCAAAGCTCAGCACCAGTCAGCCCGTCCTCGATTCCTGCAAAGCGACGAATCCCTGCGAGGAATTCAAGCGGAAACGTCAGGAGACCACCTGCCAGCCCTGCAACGAGGATGGTACTGCTCCCGGTGGCGGTGGGGGTGACGAGGAGTGCGAGTGCCGCATGAAGGACCTGCGGCTTAAGTGTCTTTTGGGTGCCCTCGCTGCTCTTTTAGCCGGAGGATTGGTAATACAATCTGATAATATCTGAAGGAGACTTTCTATAATTACTTTGCAATCAAATAGCTCGCCTGGTTTATGACGCGGGATACGGATGACAGTGAAGCTAAAAAAGCCCAGGAAGAGGAGGAGCAACGAAAACGTAGATTAATTGCTGGACTAGCCACGAGTAAGCAAACGATTATTTGAATTGGTAGGATGGTCAAGATGACATAATTTATATAGCCATAACGAACTTTCTAGGCACAAATCATTTTGCAATCTGCATTCAGATAAGCACTATCTAATGTATACCTCAAAATCATCATGATTGGATAATAATTACGACAAAAATACATTATTTTGTCTTTGTGCGCAGGTCCGCCCAGTTCGGAGGATCTTCCCAAGCATGTGCCGTACCTGATTATCGGCGGCGGAACCGCTGCCTTCTCTGCTTTCCGTGCCATCAAGTCGAACGATGCAACAGCCAAGGTTTTGATGATTAGCAACGAGTTCCGCAAGCCCTACATGCGTCCTCCACTGTCCAAGGAACTGTGGTATACGCCCAATCCAAACGAGGATCCCATCAAGGACTATCGATTTAAGCAATGGACGGGATCCGAGAGAAGGTAGATCTAAATCATATAATTCAAATCAATGTAATTATCCCCTTCTTGTCCACAGCTTGTTCTTTGAGCCTGATGAGTTCTTCATAGACCCCGAGGATCTGGATGATAATGCCAATGGCGGAATCGCCGTCGCTCAAGGTTTCTCTGTGAAGAAGGTGGACGCGCAAAAACGCATAGTGACGTTGAATGACGGTTACGAGATAAACTACGACGAATGCCTCATAGCCACCGGATGTTCCCCCAAGAACCTGACCATGCTCCGTGATGCGCCGCCCAGCGTGCTCGAAAAAGTTATGGTCTATCGCACACCCGATGACTTTGATCGCCTCCGAAAATTGGCGGCGGAAAAGCGTTCAATCACAATTGTTGGCAATGGATTTATCGGAAGTGAATTGGCCTGTTCCCTGGCACACTATTCCAGAGAGAACAATGGCGGCAAAGTGTACCAGGTGTTCCAGGAGAATGCCAACATGTCAAAGGTTCTTCCAAACTACTTGAGTCGCTGGACGACGGCAAAAATGGAAGCCCAGGGTGTCTGCGTCATCCCCAATGCCAGCATTCGATCGGCAGTTCGTGATGAAGCCATTCTGAAGTTGGAGTTAAACAATGGTATGACTTTAATGTCGGACGTGGTGGTGGTCTGCGTGGGCTGCACGCCAAACACGGACCTCGCGGGACCCAGCAGGCTAGAGGTGGACAGGAGTCTCGGTGGGTTTGTGGTCAATGCAGAGCTGGAGGCCAGACGGAATCTGTACGTGGCCGGTGATGCTTCCTGCTTCTTCGATCCTCTGCTGGGCAGGCGACGGGTGGAGCACCATGATCACTCGGTGGTCTCTGGTCGGCTGGCCGGCGAGAACATGACGGGAGCAAGTAAGTTACTGAGCTTATAGTTAATAAACGACCCAGTTTAATGTTCACCGTTCCATTTGCAGAAAAACCATATCAACATCAGAGCATGTTTTGGTCCGACCTAGGTCCAGAGATCGGGTATGAGGGTATCGGCTTGGTGGATTCTTCGCTACCCACCGTTGGTGTGTTCGCCCTGCCCTCGGAATCCGCCACGCGCGTCGACCAACTGGCAGAGTCCAGTGATTCCGAGGAGGTAGAGACCAATACGAGTTCCAAGCAGTCGTCGAAATCCGATGCCGGGGATGGCCCAGATGGCGTTACCTGTGATCCCGATGAGGCGGGCAACTACGGCAAGGGTGTAATATTCTACTTGAAGAACGACAAGATCGTCGGCATCCTGCTGTGGAACCTCTTCAATCGGATAGGCTTAGCTAGGACAATAATCAATCAGAATAAGAAGTACGATGACCTCAATGAGGTGGCCAAACTGTTTGAGATTCACGCGTAGAGAACATAGAGTCCCTAGGGACCAAGGAGAAGATCTGGCTATCCTGATATGCCTGATATGCTTATCAGCACGCACCGAACAGAAACGATCCAAACCGAATGCCTTTAACTGTGTTTACTGTGTACATTTGCAACTGCAACAGGATACGAACGGCAATGGGCCAATGCAACAGAAATTTTAGTTTTATTATTTTTGGAATAAACCTTGTTTTGTAGTCAACGACATTGATTCGGTTAAGAAGCAGCAAAGTGCATATCTGCATGTAAATACTAATGGGTCGTAGACAAGCGGATTTCTGTTGAATTGTGTGTAACTTTCGTAATAAACAATGCGCCAAAAAGTTGTTGACAAAAATTGATCGTACCACCTAAACTGCTTATATTTATCATTTTCAATGTTGAAACATGCTATTTTTGATCCTGAAGCACTCATTTAACTAATCTTAAGGGTTATTGTCTTGATTTTTATTTAAATAAAGTGTAGAAACTTAATTTTTTACTCCAATCACGTAGCCTATTTTTTGTTGTTCGTGTTGTCACAACGTTCCAGAATTAAATAAAGATATTTTCCAGAATTTTCAAAAAATTGGACTCTGAGCCATCTGCCCTTTAAAAAACTTGCACCTGGCTTATTAGGGTTAGCAGGATTAGCGACCGATTTCTAAGCCGAATAACGCTAGGATCAATAAAATTCGCGAAATATCACACTGCTTAACCAGGATCCTACCTGGCTTGCGCCAAAGGTTACTTATTAGGGCAACTGGGATTACCAACCAATTGGTAGGTAGAGCTCAAGGGCGGCAGCCCATTAACAGGTAAATCTTTAAGATATATAAACGTTGCGCTGAGACCAGCAGGACACCAGTTCCTTTCCGACAGTCCAATCATGAAGTACCGAATGTTGAACAAACGCAAGCAGGCGACTCCCTCGCCAGTGAGAGAATCCGACGCAGAAGACCTGTCCATGGCCAACCACAGTGCTCTGGAAATGGAGGCGGCTGCCGCTCTCTTGTTGCTCCGCTACCAATATGATCGACAAGTGTGCAACAGCATTATATCCTACACGGAGTCCTGCTCTCCGACTCCACCGCCTGCAGTTGCCGATAACACGACGCCAAAGGATCAGACTGTTCGTCCGACAGTCGCGAGTCAGCCGTTGAAGAAACGCTCCATACCATCGCACCTTCTCAGGAGATCCCTGACACCGGCTAAATCCGAGACTTCAGTCAGCAACAAGTCGATAGTCAAAGCCAAAACGAGGACTCCAATTCCCAGTAAGGAGCGCAACTGCAACAGGTCCTTGCTCAAGTCCTGCAGAAATATGATTCGCGAGTTTTTGGACAATCAGGAGCTTATCTAAAAGTTAAGCTACCTATCCTGGGATAACCGCCTGAAACCAATTATATATTTTTAATTTTACTCAAATCCAGATTTTAGAAATCTTCGCTTTAAAACGCCACAGTGAATTGCACGATTGCAGAAAAGAACTATAAATGAATTTTTATAAATAAATGTAGCCCAGTAAACTACAATCCCAATTGAGGCCCAAGAAAGATAGAGCCGATCCTTGCGATCTTGGATTTCACTTTTCAATTTATTTATTGCATATAAATTTGTTTCTTTTTTATACATATATAAATTATGTATTGATCGAAAGATAACGTTTTTAATGGAAGAACAGGTATTGTGGCGACACTAGAGTGCTAATTATTAGCTATTGGCGGTGTTTAAACTTAAGGCGTACGAAAAACAAATAGAAAATTATCTTTACCGTAGATCTACACAATAATTAATAATTACAGTTGCACTACAGGCTAAATGTATGAACGTGCATGGATGATATCTCTTCCTTACTCTGTTCACTCCGTTTAATGTAATTAATAAAGTGCTTTAAATGTACATTTTCTATTGTTTCATTGTTTTTATCTGGTGAGTGGGTTGTGGGTGGTGGGTGGCGGGTGGTGTGGTGGTAAGATCGTAAGCGGTTTTACAAACTAAAGTTGTTAATGCTTAAATGAACACCTTCATTTGCTGCTACTGCTGCTGGGCTGCCATTTGATTGCAGCCACTTAAACTAACGTACAAATAATACAAATAAAAATAAGAGCAATAGAAAACTAATGTGTATACATATGTGCTTGTGTGTATCATCATTGCTATATTAAAATGGAAGCCAATGTTTTTCTATCTGTGTTTCTTGTTGCAGTGTATCTAGGGCTAGGGGCTCAATTGAAATTGAATTTTGAAAGCTCTTTTTTTTTCTGGCTGATCTTGAAGCAAGAGCAGCACCATCCTCGCACGAAGGATCGCAAAACTGTTTCAGCTTCGCTTTTTGGAACTGCTCCTTTTTCGTTAGCATTCAGCCTAAGTGAATCAAAGATAATTCTGTTGTTATCACAAGAAATCAATTTGTCTTGTTGTATACAAAAACTCTTTCTATGCTGATTTGTATATTAATTAACAATTTCGACAACAATTCAAATTTCATATTTCCTTCACTTTCTTTCGATTTTAACAATGTTTGTTTGTTTTTTGTTCTTTTTTTTGTTTTCATAAATTTGAAACCATTGTTGAGGCAACATTTGTAAAGCTCAAAGGTGGCAACACTTACGGTCTAAGCTACTGGCTAATTTCTACTCCTTATTCGCTACTCATTACTTATATGATTGATTATGGTTAGGCATATTTTTGTTTGTTTGATAAATGTAGAAATTGGCACATAATCGAAGGCTGCGCTGCGCCGGCTCAAGAAATCTACTTACAACAACGAAATTACATGCACTCTGCTTTTGCTTAGCTTAGCTTAATAAATACGCTTGATCTATAAAATAAATGTATGTATGATTGTGTGTTTGTTTATGCATATGTGATTTTTATGTACAGAAAGTCGGACAGGTCGTTTGACACCCGCAAAGAAAGTATAAAACAGCAGTTATTAGAAGAACCTTTGATTTTGAAGTTGAATATTGAATATCAAGTTTCGTGTAAGGAAGGAATACAAGCTGTTCTCATAAAATGAGAATTTCAAAATGAAATTGCAACAAATTCTCCAATAATGATTTTTCCGTTTCGTTTGCATTCTAAGCGACCCATCCTAACCGAAAGGCATCCAGAATTATATCCAGCAGAGTGTCTGTCTATGTGCCTGTGCGCTTGTTGTGCTGGTCCCACTTTATTTAGCTCAGGTAATGTTGTGTGTGTGTTCAGGAGGGAGTGGAAGATGGAAGTAGTGCGGTGATTGTCTCCTACTGCTGCATATGTCGGAAGGAGTCCTCCGACTCACCGCCATTGCAATCGCTTTCCATGGGCACTGGCTGTGCTTGCTCACTGGCCTGATCCATGGGCCTGGGTGAGCAGCTGGCATTGGAGGCGCCTCCCTGCTGGTCCTCGTGCTTGGGCGACTGCCCCGCTGGCGAAGCGGATACCTGGTGTTCGTTGTATCGTATTAACTTGATGGTCGTCAGGCCGTCAGCGTTGCGAATGAGTCTGCAGAGCGAAAGTTTGATTAGCTAAATGATTTTGAAATGGTATATTAATAGTAATCCACTTACGGATAACAGTCCTCGTTGCTGGTAGCAGTGCTCTTGCTGCTCACACTGAGGTCCGTGGGCTTCAGATCCTCGCCAGCGCTTTCCGAACCCGATCCCGAGCCATTCTCCAGTTTTAGGGGATGGAACTGGAACTTGTCGGGTCCTCCAACAGTGGATGGGGTGTTTAGGGCAGGGGAATTGGGTGGCGGACCAGCTGCCGCCGCCGAAAGGTAGTGGAAGGCTCCATTGATAGCGTGCATGAAGAGCGGCGATGTGGGTGGTGGACCGTAGGCCGCAGCAGCCGCTGCTGCCACCGCTGCAACGGCGGGCAGGCTCATTGGACCATTCCGCGAGGCGGGTCGCGGTGGCGATTGATGCTGTTGCTGCTGGGACTGCTGCTGCTGTTGCTGGGGATTCCAGTTCTGGCCAGCTGGACTTCCAGGTGCCTGGCTGCTGCCCTGTGGCATCGATGGGCTGCCGCCATTGCCATTCGTCGGTGTCGATTGACGCAAGAGCGATATATTCTTGATGTTCTTCAGCTCCGTGGGATTGCGCAGAAACTGATAGCAATGTCGCTCGCCCTGCACTTTGCGCAGTATGTTTACCCTGTAGTAATAACGCAGGGCACGCGACATCTTGTCGTAATTCATGGAAAGATGGTTCTTCTGGATGCCCCACAACTTTGCCAGTCCGGCGGGATCAACGATCTTGAAGACTCCCGTATCGCGGCACTTCCAGGCTATCAGATCGCTGTACTTCTGGTTGCGATCGTTCAGCAGCTGTTGCAAAAAGTCCCACAACAGACGGCCATCTGCGATGAACAATTAAGAATATACGTTAGTCAATGTTTAGGTAACAACTTCACTTAACAACTTACTTGTATTAGGTTCCGAATTCTCGGGGAAGAACTCTCTCTTTGCTTTGTACATATAACTGGGCGTGGTCGGTGCGGAGATGGATCCTCCAGCGGGGGTCACAACTGGACCAGCAGTATTATCCAGGGTCAGCTTCTGGGGCAATTGTTGTTGTTGCTGCTGCTGCTGCTGCAACTGGTGCTGCTGCGCCTGAGCAGCTACTGCGGCCACTGCAGCAGCCTGTTGCTGCTGCTGCTGCTGTTGCTGCTGGGACCATGAGTTCACAAAACTATTCGTGAGCTGTTGCGTCCAATTCGGCTTAATATCTTTCAGTATGGGAGTTCCTGGCGGACTGGCCGTGCTGTAGGACAGTGGTGCTGGTGGCAACTTGCTCACTCCACCACTGGTCTCGGAGTACTCCTCCTCGGAATCGGAGTGATTACTGCTGGCACTGCTAATACCCTTCATGGGCATAATGTTCGGCTGGGAGCCATTGCTGCCGGTGCTGCTGGCACTCGACGATGTGGGATTGCTGGTGTTTGTGGCTCCTCCTGCAGCTGGGGCTGGTCCTCCTGCTGATCCTGATGCTCCTCCAGGGGCTCCTCCATTTTGGTAAGGTGCCTGAGGTGGACTACTCGCCTGGGAATCCACTGAGGGCGGCGGACTCAGCGTAACCGAGTTCGGCGCCATAAAATGATGACCTGCCAGACCGTGAGCAGAACTGTGGAAGGGACTGTTCTCTGGAGGAGCATTCAGCGGTGGCCACGTGGGCGTCGGCGGATGGCTGTGCGGCGACAGGGGATAACGACTGGTGGGCGTCACTGGACTGTTGGGCAGATGCCACTGCATCATGTGGGACTCTATGATCAACATCTGCAGCACATTGTGGAGTACATCTCCTGCCCCAGGACATCTGTGACCGAAGTCCGCTCGTGTCAGCAGGCACAGCGCCTTGCCGTTCATTTGGAAGAGATCAAAGTCGAGTTTGGGGAGATCGAATTCGCGGACGCAGAACCGCAGGAAGACAAGCACATCCTCGCGGCTCCAGAGGCGCGGATCGGAAGGCAGGGATGGGGGCAGTTGAGTCTTAAGCTCCGCCAGCTGGCTGGACGGCGCCGGAGGACAGCGCCACAGCACATCGCTCCAGATGCCGGGATTCAGCGAGTTCAATGATAACTGTACTGGGAGCATTTTCATTTTGGACATGCAGCCACAGTGTGTAAGGAAATGTCCTGGTCAGCGGATCCGTGTCAGTGGGTTAGTGGAAGCCACTGGAATTGCTTTTAAGCGGTGTTATCTGAAAATGAATAAGATAAAAAGTTTGACATCAGTTAAGTGGAATAAGTAAGCATTAGATATAAAATTATATACATAGTACATACACTAGGAATCCCATTTTTAGTGTATGCGAATTAAATAGTAATGTGAGTTATATTGAATCATGGAACACTATATACATAGTTTTTTATCTTTTTTTGCAGTAATATTGTGACTAATCGATGTTAATGTTGGCCATCATGAATCACATCCATTCCAAACCCTCTACATTTATTTTTCCTTTAAGCTGATTTTTGTGGTATTATTTGATCCTTTTGAATGTGTATTAAGACACTTTTAATATTCTTCACAGCACTATTTGAATCATTTAAGGCGAACTTGTTGTTTATTTTAACTTCTGGGAAGAGCAGATACGGAAAACTACCATGGATTCTGGCACGATTGGCAAGCACACGGTTCCTCTGGCGGTTCAAAGTTCACTACTGAGTAATCTCCAACGCAAAAGGATGTGGCCAATGGATGTTGTTGATCACTCGTCGACACACTTCCGCCAGAGAAATATCTAAGCGGACACATCACCTAGTCGGGGAGGGGGGTAGTAGGGGTAGCCAGTGTATCCCGCTCCCAGACGCCACACATACCGATCCGATACGATCCGGTCCGATTCGATCCGTCAACGGGAGCGAGCGGGAGAGCGACACTCAGACAGACATTCGCATTCCAACCAAATCAGATTTCTTCATAATCGTCGCGGGGCAGCCGATGGACGAGGATGAAATAAACAAATAATATATCTCTCCGATGCCGACGCAAGAACAACAAAAACAACAGAAACGCGACCGAACGATCTATTTGCGCGTGTGAGCGTGATGGTACAGCGATATATGGCATATAGCGGGCAAGCGCATCCGAACACTACTTGGCGCAAACTGGCTGAGGGATCTCGATCTCGATCTCGGAGAGCGCAGAGCGCAGAGCGTGACTCACTGGCAGCGGCAGAGGCTGAGGCTGAGACCGGGGCGGCGCAGCAGAGGATCAGGTAGCGGCAGAGGTCTGGACCGGACCTCTCTCGCTCTTCCTCCTCGACATCTCCGCTCAGCGGGCATCTTCGGCGGCAGCGGCAGCGGCAGCGGCATCGGCATCGCCAGCAACACACCCCCGCAGCGACCGAGGCGCTGGCCGACGAGAGGGGAAGAGCAAGAGCGGGAGAAGATAGTTCCAAAAAAAAAAGGTTCAACCACAACGAACTCGGGAATGCGCTACACGGAGAAAAATTAAATCCCACCACATGGATTGTTGACCTGGAAATTTATGTAACTTTGATTTCACATACCATTGCTGTATTCTTATTGATTACTAGCTTTTTGATGCATGCCAATCAAAACCTACCGCATGTGCATACCCAGCAATTGGCGCCCAATGTGGGGCCCAACCTTAAGTCCCATTTAGGCGCTTCCGCTATCATATCCGGATACTTAATAAAGTAACAGTTGACAATTCACACCTCGACAAAAGAAATAAAGAAATTCGTAAATAAGAAAATTTCCACAACCTTGGTTCCGATTTCACTTCCTGGTGATATTTTGATAGCTGTTTTAGAGGTTGCCAAAAAAAATTAAAAAAAAAAAAACCATGAGTAGTGTAAAAAACGAGATGAGAAATCTTTCAGATCAACGTACAGTAAGTAAGCAATCATTAGTATATTTATAGGAGTAAGCATTTTAGCTGAGGTTCCTAGAGCATTTCTTAGTCGCCAAAGCCTATGGACGGCAGCTTTTTAATTGTAAATTTCTCAATATGGTAATTTCCACCAAAAATGTGTGATGTCTCCGGGTGTATGGGTGTGCATGGGCGGCGGTACACTGCCGTTCCGGATGTGTACAAAGCGATCGCAGACACACAAAAACCGAAAGACGTATACACACATGACGGTGATCATTTGCTTTTGTTGTAAAGATTTCAACATAAGCGAATGTATTGATGGCACCCGGCGCGGGGCAAACGGGGGAGCGGCCAAGTCGAACGTCTCTCGAAACTTGAAAGCCGTGCCCATTGCCCACTCTCGTATCTTGCTGCAGCAGCAAACGGAAGTGCACATTCCAAGCAGCAAACCCGTTTCCAAAAGCAGCAGCCGGAGAAGAGGGAGTGGGATGGGATGGGAGCAACCCGTGTTGGAGAAAGACGCTGCTGCGATGGGGCAACTAATAAATCCGCCAGTGGGTAAGGAGAGCAGCAAGTCTCAGTCGGTGGATCGAAATGATGATGAGTTTGGGAGCTTGGGGAGATCGTGTAACATCAGCTACTCATGGAGGACCCTATCCACAGACAATTGGTGGAAAATACCAATACCATGGCGAAGAATATTTAAGATATTTTAAAACATTATAGTGTCGATTTTTGTTAGGACCTCAGATCGTTGGTACTAGTTGCTCGTCCTCTGCTGTACTTATACCCACTTATAGCCGGACCAGACGTTTTCGCTGCACACATGTTCAGATTTATCGCGCTTCTCTCCTCACCGACTTGGATCCGACTGCCTCGCTCTCCCGAAAGAAACTTCCTCATTCTCCGGGAAGCGCTTTCAACAAGTGAGCGCTGCCAAGAGCGCCAGAAAGGGAGGGCAAGAACAAGAAATATTTGTGACGGCGATGGGGGGGAAAAAAGGTGTAGGGTGGGCGGAGGATGATGGTGATGATGAGGATGATAATAATCGCCTTGAATATTTTATTGTGCATGTAGAGGGCTTAGAGGGGGTCTATCCGATCCACAACCGATCCGATCTATTTGTTTTTGAAGAGAGCTAGAGGTAAATGCTGATGCCCCGCCGCTGATTGTGCACACTCCACATACAGGCACACACCACACTCACACCAGAGCGATCCTACGTGTTATTTCGGTTGCCACAACACATGGTTGAGTTTTCACTAAAATAAAATCATATATTCTAGTGCACACATGTTCCGCAGCACCAGCAACAGCAACACAAAATAAATAAACATTCGGCTAAAAGTTCGAGTCGGTGGAACGTAGTAAAATGACAAATGAATGCTCATCAGCCAGCAACAGAAACACAGAAACAAAAAAAAAAAAAAAGAAAAGGAAGGCAGAGCAGCAGGCCCAGGAAGAGGCAGAGTTGGGGAAGTTCACTGAGAGAAATGTAAACAGCTGATTTGGGTCATGCATTACAAGAGCGCGATTACAAGATTTGGCGCCCACCGTGGGGCATTGCTCACAGAGCTACAAGGACAAAGGATTCAACATAGTAAGTAATACTGATTTCTTTCAGTGCATCACGTCTTCTCACGCACGCAATAAGAGTATAAAGAATATTTCTAAATCTCGACACAGGAGGCGCGGCAGAGAAGAATCCGAAAAGAGCAGCATTCAGTCACCTCTCCCTCTCTGGCACAACTCGAAATCAAGTCAGGCACACAGGTAGTTCAAAATCAGAGGTAAGGTATGCGAGCGATCTGGAACCGGTTTCAACGGAAATTACAAACGAAAATTATAAAACGATCAGTTTAGAAAAAGAAAGAAAGAAATAAATGCCTGGGGGAGTGGAAGGAAAGCTGGAAAACCAAAAACAAGCAAATGGGTTAAAGAATGCCATGAGCTCTTTCTACGAGTATTGCCAATGTTTCCGTTTTTGGCGTAGAAAAAACATTTCCAAGGAGGAGGGGTTTTCGTGTGCGGGATCGTGGGATCGGAAATGCTAGAAAATGGGACATGAGAGATCTAAAAGACGGATAAGGAAGTCGAGGAGCTAAGTGTTCCTATGGAACAGAATGGAAAGGATTATGTGGGACAGCAATCAGATAAGATACGTTAAACGTTCATACCAGCTTGGATTTTTGCACTATTATTGCTATCTGCTGTACGAAATCTTCTACGGAATTCTTGGATAATTTCATTGTGGGAAACAACCTTTTAAATTTTTTTGAGATATTTCACAGACGTGTCGCAAATGGAAACGACAAGGATTAACCAGTGCAGCCTTCTAATATTATTAAGTAAAAAGTGGCATCCAGCTCGCATATTACTTAACATACACAGTACTTCCCTATCGCTTAGCCCCTTAAGACGACACTCAAATGGCATTTGTGATCGGCACTCCTAGACGCAGCTGGAATTCCAGCTTGCCAAGTGAATCACCCGAGTGAGTGCCCGGACGGACAGGAGTTGAACGTTAATGAGTAATTTCCGCAGGCGCATCCTCTCCTCGCTGGACCCCCGCCATGCCTCCCCGCCCCTCAGCCCAGTGCACACACTGGGTGCATCAAGTGCGCAGTAAGAACGATGGGAAAATAAGAAAATCTGATAGCCTGAAAATCAGAAATGTCGGGGAAAAGGAACCCGAAGAGAGACAGAAGCGACAGCAGCCATGGCGCATTAAGATTAACGGCTCAGCGTTCGATCGAAGGGAAGGTGCGAGAAAGAGAGAGTCATAGGGATGCTGTCTCCCTTTCTACACTGAAGAACTGTTTAAAAAAAATGTTGAATAAATGTATAGTCATTGCTATTTTCATTCAATGCAGTAGACGTTTATATGTTTTTTTGTTTTTCTATCTTATTTCAGTTCCTCGAGCTCTTCTCGAACCCACTCCCACATTTCTCTCAGTGTGCCGATCAGGTAGAAGAGCAGCAATGAGGAAATGCGTCCGTCCTTCCCCTACCTGATCTGCACTTTGCTTTACATCTTGTAGGACTTCTTGGAAACCGGGCTACGGATCTCCTTGAAGCCCATCAAAGAATGGAATGAAGTAACTGAAAGGAAGAATGACGAGGCATGTGGTGCCTATGGTGGTGCTCATGCATATAGTGGTGGTGCTGCTGTTGCTGCTGTCGTTGACATTTGATCTCTTTTATGAGGTCTTTCTTGAGCGAGCTCAAGTGCAGCATCGTTTTTGTTTATCTCGTCTTTTCTGTTGGGCTGGTGTTTTCGTTCTGGCCCTAAATCAACCCCTAAAGCCAAGGGATTTGACCCTAGTCCGCAAATTGTGTGTAATTCAATGAGTTTCTTGGGGTTCTCAGTTCGATTCATATCGCTCGGGGTAGGTATACGATGTTCTTTTAACAGCCAGATGTAAGGTAATCTGGGGATTCACTTAGCCAATAAAGAGCTTTGATATTAAGGTCGATAGAAGAGGTATGGTTTCTTTAAAAATGCAATACATCGTAAAGTATCTACGGTTTTTATTTCATATAGAAAAGAAAAGATCAACAGTCACGGCAATTACTTCTAGAGGTAACTAGCTAATCAATAAAACGTAAAGAGTGTCACATTTACAATTCCCCGATCTGTGCAGGCTTTTGAGCAATCAATAAGCTCTGATGAGTAATGGTGTGTAGGTACACTTGGGGTTCGAGTTCATGTGGTTCCTATAGATGTGTTTACATTCTTCACGTGTATTTCAGGCTCGGATATTGCCATTTGTGTCTGTGTGCCCGCTCATATCAAATACTCAATTAATAAGCATAAAAAATATATTCAAAATTCGAAATAGCTAAGTCAACGACCTGCTTTGCTTTTATAACTGCTCGGCTCACAACACTCGTCGTCGCTTATATTTAAGAAACAGCAACAACGCTCGTAACTCTTGATCTACCATAGCCCCCACTGTCCCCGTATTACCCCCCATTTTCTCCACCGCTTATAGACGGTGCTGAGCGTGCATAACAAGCGCGTGAGCGTATCGTGTTTGCTATTTGTGTTTGCCCTCGCTTAGCTGTATTGGTATGTTGGTACAAAAAGAGTAAGAAAATATATATAAATAAAAAACGCCAATTCCGGGTTCTTCTTCGCAACAAAAAACGAAAAAAAAATATATAGAAAAAGTATGCGAAGAAGAGTGGGGGAAATAAAGTCAAATGTCTGTGGTTCATTTTCTGTCTAGATAGTCAGTTTGTGTGCTCAGACTCGAGAGCCGCAGGCTCTTTTCTTTTGTTTTATTGTTATTTCTTCGGTCACTATTTAAGCCAGCCCTCAAACAACGAGGGAGGCTCAAAGCTCAAGCTCAGGCAAATCAATCATCGTTACGCACTTTTTACCAAAAGCCAAAACGCGAGCTCAAGTCGAGCCAGGCCGAAAGCCTCGCGGTAGCTGTAAATGAAGAAAGAAATGAGGGCCACAGGCATTCTTTCACTCAAAGCTTGCTTAGGTCATTAGAATACAGTGATCTCTAGAAAGATCTAGTCGATATAGAAATATAAACCATCGACTGCCCGTCTACCAAATATGTTCAGGGAACACAAGAGCTTCAAAAACTTTTGAAACCTTCAAATCGAAATAGTGCATACCACTGTAGTTTTCTCTTTTGATCAGGCGACAAGATCTGGCCAACATTGAGTCCTCCACCTCTTCTCCAGATTTACCTTCGAGCTCTTCTGTTTTGCTCGATCGGAAAGAGAGGTGTAGAAAAATAAAAGAGAGATGGCGAGATCCACAGCTGCTGGAGGCGTTACGTGACGTGTTTGTTCTAATGTAGCTCAAACCTCGGCTTCAAGTCGTTGTTTTTTTTTTTTTTTTTTTCTTATTTTCTACCTCTTTCTTGTGGAACTCTTTCTGCTGTCTCATTGTTCATCTTTATGTGCTGTCGGGTCTTCGAAGGGGCAAAGAGATAGACTGCCTAATGATATCAAACGTTCGATAACCTCTTCGGATTTCTTATAAATATGCAAACTCAAACCACAGCACAAACAACACACACCTCTGCTATGCTGATCATTCTCATGACTAGGTAGATATCGGACTTCATAAAGAGCATCGGAACAATCGGAAAACAAAGGGCGCAAAAGCACAGCATCATTACGATCATTATCATAATGCTTATGATCGAATCGGTAGCTAACTACCTAGGAATAAGAAGAACCACTGAGATAGAGAGGGAGAGACACTAGAGATCGCCAGTCAGATATTTCATTTCCATACGATGGATGAGTTCATCAAACGCCCAGACAAGAGTTCAGAATCATTCTTGTTTTTGCTCTCAGAAGGGGTTGATGATGGGGAGTTTTAGATACACTGAGGGAAACAAAAATTGTATAGATTCCTTGATTACAGTTTTGCCCTTAAAACACATAGTGACCATGAATTATCCAACCAATAGGGATTCCCCAATTTTTTTCTGTGTATACATAGTGTTTGCTGGTGAGGAGCTGGATACTCATAGACCTAGACCGCATCAACCGCATCATTTGTGCCCATTACATTCAATTAGTCGCATCTGCGTTTTTGTTTCAACTCTTTGCGATTTTCTCGCACTTGCATCAATCTTCTCCGCCCCTCCTCCCCAATGCTTTTCCTGCCCACCATCCTAACTTAATAAGGCACTCATCAACATCATCATCATCATTGTTGGACTGCTGCCTGCAGCAAGAATTTAATGTTTGCCCCTTTATATCGAAAGGGGTTGCCAACGAGGGGGCAGAAAAAGGGGCCAGTGGACATCTCATGTGCGTCTCTTTGGCTTGGGGTCGGGGTCAGTACGGGTTCAATTGAGTTGGTTGACATGAGTAGCTTCCGTGTTCGAAGACCATAAGCTACTCTTGAGTCGAGTTTACGTGGAGCAACGAAGGACAATGCAGAAAACAGAGAAAAAACCTAACATTGTAGTTAGGTGGGTGAATAGCATTCGGTTCCGATAAGAGTATAACTATTTCATATCACAAGTTAACATTTCCGTTGAGCATCACTGAACCACCCACAAGCCAGCCATCAACACAATCTTCTGGGGGCAATCTTCGCATGAAGAACACTAAAGGAACCTTGCCCATCAAGCTGATAAGATCCCCAAGTCGCATTTCCAGTTCCAGATCCCGTCCTCGGCGCACACCTGCTGCGGAGGCCTTTGGCGCTTCACATGGCGATATATATCTGTTAACTAGGATTACTTTTTGTCTTGGGTGTCGCTGCTTTGATAAAGACCAACAGAAATAGACAGAACACATAAAAGATACAACATGTTCCGCTATCCGCTGTCGCACACTTCCACCATAATGTTTATATGTATTATGAAATGTTTACGATTTGCTTGAGTTTCAGTAAGTTCATAACAAATATGCCTCTCTCCGCAGATAAGATAGCGCATAGATACATAGAGCAATCTGACTTGACTCAACTTCAGTCTTTCGGACTCCCCTTCACTTTTTATTGCTCGCGACTGACTTCCCATCGAAGAAAGACTTTTAGCGACTTCCTGCTTGACTATTGATCGGCCTGATCTTCCAGCTTCCTGTGGACAATTGGATCGGGGTCCAGCGTAAAGCAACCTAGCTGAGCCGCATACACTGCGATTAAAGTCATTCTAGGTTATAACAAGAGAGAACGTTATAGTATTGGCGAGATCCTCGACTATCAGATCAGAGAGTGCGAAGTTGAAATTTCAACATTTAATTGAGCATTTTGATAGAAATTATCAGGAAAAATAATCCTTATCGATGCTTATCAAGAATATATATACTTTACAGGTTCGGAAACGCATCCTTCTACCTGTTGCACACTTTTCAGAGATTATATAAATAATATTATTAAATAAAAGGTACTTTCCCTTATTATCAAGCATAATTATTGCTCAGCAATTATTTAGTTTTATACAAAGCGTAGTCAACCGATGATAATAAACCAATTAAATTGATTTTTGGTTTATTCATTCATATGGAAAACTTTTTCTAACTCCAGCTCTTTCAGATCCACTGAAATCACTCAACTGCACAATATTCTCGCTGCATAATTAAAATATAACCAACAAAACCGATTTAAAAAACTATTTAAATGAGAGTAAACCAAACCGATTGTGAATAGTATTATCTATTTCAATTGATGGTCTTTAACTGAGCTATTTTTTTTAATTGATACATAAGTATTTAACCACCAGCAAGCTCGGTTTTCTCGCAGTCGTTTTCCCGCTTACTGCCGATTTGATTGTGTATTTAAGAGCCATATTTATAAAATAGAACGATTGTGGTATGAAGTTTATAGTTTGACAATTTGAACCAATACTCCAAATTTGCCTATTTAAAATAGTGCGGTATGAAAAGGGAATGATTTGCAAGAATCATATTTTACCAAAAAAAAAGTAGCTAAACATTGGAGACTGGAGACTGGAGACTTTTATACTGTGTATAACTGCGTTATTGTAATTACAATTGCATTATTTTTTTTATAGATAAAGTGTTCTTCAAGTTTATAAGCCAGTTTAATATATACACAAAAAGCAATGAAGCTGAATTTGTCTGTTGCTTTTCTGATGATTTCCATATATTTTTTCACAGAGGTAAAAAATTGTTATTACTGAAAACCCATCTTTAAATATATACTTTTAGGTTTATTCCCTAGTGGAATTTACAAACGTACAGTGCGAGTCTCTGGATAAAGACTTCGCTTTAGTTGAATATTGTTATCTGAAATCTGTAAACCGATCTTACAAATATGTCTCCATTAAAGTAAACCTCCTAAAGCGACCCATAAACAAAGTTAAGGTAATACATTAAATATATTTCCTTATATTTTAAGCAATCAAAATAAGTTGATATTCTTCAATTTAGGTGAATTTTGCTCTTTATCAACGTTTGAATGGCTATAAGCCTTTTCTCTACAATATTACCTTTGACGCGTGCAGATTCCTAAAATCGCCGAAATCCAATCCGGTTGCTCTTTATTTTTACAACTTTTACAAAGAGTATTCCAACATGAACCACACTTGTCCCTATGACGTAGGTATACCCTATGTTTATTAGATAAATATTCATATTATATTCATTTTAGCATGATATTGTCCTCGACAAGTTGCCATATCATAGTATAAATAATAAGGTAACCAAAACACTGCCCTTTCCGGAGGGAAGTTATATGTTTGAAGTAAACTGGATGGCCTATGGCATTCCTCGAGCTGTAACTAAGTTCTATTTATCACTTTCTTGATAAACCGATTAAAAATCAATAACAAGGCACCAGAAAAATGCAATTGTAATCCAAATTGAAATATAATGTATCTCAATCCAAAGTACGTGTTTAATTAAGAATGATTTGTGTATGGTATTAATTTAAATTTAAAACCGTACATAAATGTGCTTAGATCTCCAATTTCTCTTCATGTTCACGATCATAGTCCCGATCTGAGACCCAATTTTTCTCTGTGCAATAAGTGATCGCTAGCTGACTCGATCGCCTGTCCATTTCTTCTGCTTATTTTTTTTTGCTCACAATCTGGTCGGGCATCTAAACCGGTAGTTAGTATTTGCACTAGTAATCAAGCACATACATAGCTAACATCTAGGCATGCATGGCGAGGCGAAGCGGCTTCATCCGCCTGCTACCCCGCACTTGGAGCCAAAGAACTTTGACGATCGCGCTTCGCATCTTAATTACAGAGGAGAACGAGCAGCAAAAAATAGCGAAGAAAAAACAAAGCCCAGAGCTAGCCCGCCAAACCTGAATTGTAAAAACGTTCTAAACGAACTGAACTCAACCGAACCGAACCGATCTCAACTTAACCGAGTTGGCCGGTGGGGAACGTTTTAAGCGTCGTCGTGGAAAGACACTTAATAAATGCGGAAGCGGATGTTCGAGCTACAGAAAACAGAAACAGAGAGACGCTGACGCTTGTCTATAATCACAATCTGGTTCCAAGCGACGCAGGGAACAGGGAAATGCAAAAAATCAGCGATCGCATGAAGAGTAAGTGCGCGTAAGTTAATACCATACGAGTGTAGTACGTCCGCAGGTTGTGAGCACGGGTTGTACGGAGGCCGGGAAATGCCGAGTCCACGTCCAAGTCCACTAAGGAACAGCAGGAACATCGTCATCATCATGACCATCGCTCACTTCCTCCGACAGTTCGATTGTGGGAATCCACAGCATGTAATCGCTGATGATGTGTAATACATGAGCTAATGCTCTGTAGTGTGTTCAGGAAATTGGCCATATCTTTAAGCGATTAGGGTGCTGGTGGGTGGGAAGGGGGATTTTTAAAAAGGGCGGCACACGAATTATTGATTAAGAGAAGAGCGTTACAAACATCATAAAAAACGGTTGAAATCGGAACCGGATTGCAGATAAGACGGTAAAGCCCATGCTCCATATCAACTATCAATTGAAGTGCAGCGCAGCGAAAGGAAAGATTTCCTTGAAAACTTATTAATGTTGCTTTTCACAGGAAAATGAAATCCGTTTGACTATTATTTATTTACTAGCTGGAAATGCCATAGTCAACAGAAACGATGTGAAGCTCTCCAGCAACCGAACCTATTGAGTTTTAATCAAGGAAGCGAGTAGTATCAATCAATCAGCTGCATCCAAAGCACTTGGAAGGTGGTGGCGGGGTTGGGAGAATTTCCTCAAGGGCTAATTTGACTTTGGTTTCCAGGCGGAATTTCCCGACTGCACTTTGATAGTTTGGCTTTTTGCATTTCACTTCTTGCTGAGCTAGGAGAGCTGATTAGCAGGCGAGCGCGCGTTTTGAAAAGGCTTCTCCAGAGATTGTTTTCACCCAAGTCCACAATAACGATGATAATTATATGAACGCACATATATGGGGACGAGAAGCAAAAGCTTGAAGCTTGATAAGCACGGACAATGGCAGGGGGGAGTGAGTGTGGACACAATAATAATAAAGAATTGCTGGCTATGCCGCAAGTTGCTCTTAAGTAGCCACTAAAACGTGGCAATCCGACCTAATGAGATAAAAAGTACCACCGACACAGCACTCGGCGCACGAGACAACAAGAGGAATACCCAGAATCTGGCAATCCAAGAACTAACAATTGTAATAGACAGAGCCCTCTAAGATCTGGGGATCTCTTGAGGTTGCTGCGCATTGCTGGCGGCCAAGAACTCATTTAAGCTGCTGCTAATTATGAATTTGGCGACAATAGAGGAGCAGAGTGGCCCATCTGCGGCCCGGGAATCCGAGTCGGAATCTCCGTTTCTGTTTCTGTTCTGTTCTGTTTCAGCTCCTTCAACATCGTTGTGCTACGTGCTGTTCGTGTCAATTTTGTTGTTTGTTTTAATTCGTGTTTGCCTTACTTGGAAAATTATAATATAATCTCCTGCTTGACTCGGACCCCATCCCATACCATACCATACCATCCCATCCCATCCCATCCCCTCATTTGTGGGTTCATCTCATCTGGCCCGAGGGTATTTTCGAGGCTGTCGTTTCATTTGACACTTGGTCCGCAGACAGGGCGGCGTTGGCTTGAAAATTTCTCAACTGTAATTCCAGAATTAATAAAACAATTTGGGCTTAGGTGCTGGTGGAGGAGATGAGGCATAGGTAGAGGATTCCTTGCCACTTGAGCAGACACAACTGACTTCCTTGAGTACGAAAAAGAGAACTGCCAAGTGGACTTTGAAGTAAAATGACTCCTTAGATGAACCCTTTCCGTAGTAAGACGTATAATGGGCAACTTTTAAGGAAAGCTCTTTTCCTAATAGTAATGTAATAATGTCTTAGAATCAATCGAGTTCGTTGGGGACTTACAAATTTCGTTCAGGAGATCCCGATCTACTTGTACAAGCAGATATTATGTATAGAATATTTTAGTTACCTGAAAATAAACAATAGAAATATGATTATTAGTTAGTGAACTATTTAAATTGAATATTTGGAAACAGTAAAATAACTGATACAATAAATATTACAAATGAATCGTCTATTTGAAAATGCCCCACTTTACCCCTTTTCGACCTTTACCCCTACCCCTTTCGACCTTGGAAACGAACCCTATTTATATTCGGCGGTTCCACCATTGCGTAAACGCATTTTGAAGTGCTGCCCTGACGAAAGGAGCAATAAAATAATCTCAAAGCTCGTATCTCTGCGTATCAAGGTGTAAATAATTGAACAGCCCAATATTCTCGGCCCAACAACAACTGCAATCATTATAATAACACTTGTGAATACCGTGCGATATGATTAAACAAAACAGAAAGCAACAAAAGAGCCAAAAATAAAAAACTAAATACTTTTGTTTTGCTGCTTCTTTGCTTTCCTCGTATTTCGATTGTACGTGTGCCCAGATAGGAACTGTGTAGAAGTGTAATAATAATAAATAAATTATAGCAAAAGCAAAAGAAAGGGTAATGGCAAATGTGACATGGATTGCGACTGATTACTGTATCAATTAAGACCAAAAAACAACAAAACAAAAAACAAGAACCACCCACTCGAGCGCATAGCAAAAGCGTAAATTCTTGTACTGCCGTCATTTCCGGTTCCCCAAGCTTCCCCTCTCCCAACTCCCCAACAAAGACCACTCACTGTATCGAAAACACATTTTGGAGCCTCCCGCTCCCTTGGATTCCTTCCTGTTCGCCCGCCCCTTACCATCCACATGACTTTGGTTCCGAGCTGCCTTCCACTTTTCTTATCAGTCAGCGCAAACTGATTACTCGCAAACGCACACCTGTTGGCACATACCTATGTATGTATGTACGTAGTACTACCACTGCACGTAGGGTTTACCAGCTAGAGGGTCCCAAAAAACTGAATTTCGGGCAGCGTTATCTGTGCTATCGGCTCCGAAATCAAATTGATTTATGAAAGATTTGCCAAAATTCGGTTTCGATTAAAAAAAAATAAAGGAATGAGAGCGCTAAGTACCCTCGTAGCTAGAAATAAGGAATCAATAGACCATAATACCATACCGAAATGGTAGAAATATATACCAAATGAAAATCGCTTTCAAAAACAACCTCCTTTTGTGCACTTCTCGTGCACAATTCATTGCAAGTGTGGCACAATAACTAGCTAAATTTCCTCTTCGCTGCCCGCTGAGTCTTGAAGTAGGCAATCCGGAGGACGACGGGATTGGGAATGCGGCTCCTCACCAGCTGCATTGTTCTCAGTGGAGGGCCTGCTGTTTCGAACCGCCCCCCGGTGCACTCCTCTTCCTTCTTCCGCCTTTTGAATGCAATTTCCTTGAAGTGCCAAATGCCAAAACTCCATTGTGCGTTCTGTTTGCACGGGTCAAGTCGAGGGGTCGATTTAGGTCGGGATCATATCGAGAGGTCGTGAGAGGCTGAGAGGGTCGCACAGTTAGGGTCTCGAGAGTGACAATTATTGCCAGGGACCACCCACAAAGTTGCGAACCTGTTCCGCTTTCAACTCGACCCATTGTTGTAGGTCCAACAGGTAGGTTAAAGGTGATGGTACGGCTTCGATATCCTACAGGTAATGGTTTTTTATTCCTTTGGGCATTGATTTAGGTTTGCTCTTCATTTGAGACTTAATCCAGATTATCGTAATACCACAAAAATATATTAATTGCCCTTTTGGATAGGCGCGTTTTTAAATGGGGGCATTTATTGTAAATTGAGGATAAATAACTTGGGATTTGTTCAAACTGATTTATATGTTACTTTTTCTCAGTGTGCCCATACTTAATTTATCAGTTCCGTATAGTTACAGTTACCCTTTGTATTAGATAGAGACTATAATGGACAATCGTCGGCCGGTGTGTGACGTAGGAAGGGTCGCTTCAAGTATCTCTTGTTACCAGGCCATAACACTTGGGTGTGTAACTCTCGTACCCCCCGGGTAGCCCGTCTCTTTCTTTCAGCTCGAGGTTTCCTTGTTGCTTCGTCTCTGGGTTTTATCTCTTATAGCGATAGACAAGCGTTACGGATACTTCCTTTTTGGCGTTACGCCATCAGCTTAGGCTAGGTGCACCCAAAACTGTTACGTTATACGCCACCACGCAATCCCCCCAATGGGGGCCAGGGGGTTTCCTCCACCCCCCTGAACCACCCATGGGAGTTCAATAAGAAGAAAGAAGGAAAATTACCTAATTGTGTTGCATCGACAGACGACGACTTAAAAGCGACTTTCCACAACATTACTCCACTTCTTGCTTGATGTACTTTTGCCCCCCTTTTCCACCCACTCCACTTCCCCATTTGGGTGCCCCTTCCCCTTTCCGTATGTGTGCCAAAAGGAAAATGTGCCAC